AAATGTTAAAATAAAGATAGGTGTTTTGATAATGTAATTTAACAAAAATATTTCCTACCTAAAATATAAGGATTTAAACATGTAAATTAAACAAACTATAATCATTAGATGACATTAATTGAAATTAATTAATAACTAAAATAATTCAAAATCCATGAGAAATGACACATGTTAAAATATATATGTGCTATTTGTCATTTGCAACTAAGGGAAACGTTAAAAGTAGTAAATATAGTAAATTTTACTTAAAAAAGGTTATTGATAAGTTAGTTCAACTAGGATTTTTATTTCTAAAGGAAGTGTTAAAATAAAATATTTACTTAGAGAGGCTTTTCGATAAGTTAGTTTAACAAAATATTTTTCTAACTAAAATATAGTGATTTAAACATTTGAACCAAACAAACTAATAACTATTAAATTACATTATTTGAATTGATTAAGGAGTCAAATAATTCAAAAATATATGTCATATTATTAGAAATCTTTTAGAAAACATGGACTAATAAATTTCTAGTATAATAGATTTCCACGTATTTGTCCCATTGCAATCTACACACAACTTTCAACTTTGCATTCTTCTTATGCTTTGGTCCAAGCCGTTTCCTCCTACCCATCCATTCATTCATTCATGCGCATAACTTCAACTACCACTATTCTCCGCAGGTGGCCATACCTAATGTCTCTCACACGTGCCTCGCCCACATTGTGTTCCTACGGTAGGAACGGCCAATGCGTTCCTACCATATAAAGGGATCCCACTTTCCCCAAAGGAGCTTGAAAACATTTCATAGGCATGGGCCCGGAATCCCATCACCAGTCGATCCTACTTTGAATGGATCAACAAGCCAGGCTCCATAGCCAGTTCAAACACGGCATTGTTATGTGGTATTCCCACAGCCATTTAAAATCTAAGCACTGTTGAAATTATGTGGTATTCCCAAAATGGGACATAGAAAATATATTCTAAGACGCTAATAAAAAGATCAAAAAAGGTGTTGTACTGGCAGAACAAGGATAATATTTCATATTTGTTATTTTGCTTTTTAATTAAGAATTGTTATCAAATCAATTATAGGTACATCTATAAATTGACTGTCTACAAGTTATCTGGGGCAAAAATTAAAAAAAAAATTTCTAATATCCAATGTCTTAAAAGTCAGGAGGGGCTCAATAACAAATTTATAAGGCAAAACTAAATTTATATGAAAATACCATGCGCCGGGGCAAGCCCTTGATGGTACCTATTGTTATTAGCAAGAATAAGAATGCAATTCCTGCTTTCTTGTTTGTGGGTGCAAAGTCGTGTAACCACTGCTCATTTTTCAGTCAGTTTTAATGATTCTTTAATTTTTTTTCCCCTTTCCTCGTGAAAGAGGTTTTAGACATGGTGGCCTTATTGATCTTATCTTTCCTCTTAGTTATGTAGGTCTTTGGGGGATGATTTTGGAAAGGAATATTCTACTTAGAATGTTCTTAATTCTCAGCGTAATTGTCTACAAATTAAGTTTCTTAAGAATAAAATAAGACATCTAAAGATCTACTCTTTCTAATGATTGACCTGTTGCACTAAAACATACGATACCGCTCACTGCACTTAGTATTCCCTTGTGATTGAGCAGCTTCCCCACCATGGTGTTTCTACTGCTGTTTGTCTGTACACCAGAGCAGTTAAAGATGAAGTACTCATGGCTGTTTAAGTCTATATTAGTGTGTAAAGTGAATTTCTCTCTATGTTGATTTATTTAAGTTTACACACTGTCTGATTCTAAAACTGGATTCTGATTCGAGAGCATGTGGCTATAACATTAACATTAATATATAGTATTTTTCGGAAGATTTTCTCTGTAAGGACAATGGAAGTATACTAGTTAATAAAGTGATACTTTCACTAAATCTCTAGTATGCCAATTGTTGTAGTATTTTAATAAAATACTCAAATTTTAGTTAAACGCATATGTTACAAGAGAGAAAAATTGGTAACGGCTTTTGGAGTTAGTGGCAATTGATTACATTTGATTAATTAACCTTTTTATTAGAAATTAAAGGTTTTCAATTACAATAACTTTTATTTACTATTTATCTAGTATATTATTACTATTGTAACATATGGCGTTTAACTAACTTTTATCATCTATACTAGGGGAGGAGTGCCCGGTATCGCGCGGTGGTTAAGGAAAATTTTTTATTGGATAAATAATAGTATATTCTGATAAGAAATAATTATCAAATATGATAAATTAATAATAATACATTCTAATTGCAGTACACATTTGTACACTTTGTTTTATTAATGCTTTTGCAATTTTACCATTTTCAAATGATCCCTATAGATGTTAGTTAAAAATCGTCCAAAATGCTTTTGTACACTATTAATGTTTTTGTGTTAATTGCACAATAAAAGTCACAATTCAATTAAATGTATCTATAACACTATTTCAGTAATTACACCAACACATAAACTTATATAAGTTGTACTCGATGCAAAAATGGCTGCAAAATAATTCTATATTTTAGAAATACTCAGATATCTCCATAAATCAAAACTTTAAATATACCAAAATGAGAGCATTTCTGTAAATATATCCAAACATATGTTGCCCTTAGTTGTACCAAAAGTTTTTAAAAAAATACACAACATTTCATATTCTCAAAAAGTCTCTATCCATGCGGTTGAAATTCAAACCTCCCTTTGACTACAACTCATCCCTTTCAGTTTCAGGAGTTAAGCTTTCCCTTTTTATCTTTGTCTACAACAACCAATGTTTATGGCTTATAAATGCAAATTGTAAATGATAGAGAAATGGGTTCCTACCATTGATAGACAAATCGTTGGCTCATTTCCTAAATCCGATTGCTATTCAAACGTTTCAGACAAAGCAACATCTCAAATGGTTATCTGCGGTTGAAAAGGGGAATTATTGATAGTTAAGGGATATTCCGGTAATTACACTAACATACAAGTATATATGGGTTGTACAAAATATAAAAACAGTTGCACACGAATTACACATTCCATCAATACCCAGACGGCTCATCAATGACAACTTTAAATGTATTAAAATAGGATCATTTCAGTAAACATACCCAAATATATGCTTCCTTAACTTGTACTTAAAGTTTTTAAACTAATACACAACATTTCACATTCCCAGAAAGCCCCCACCTATGCGGTTGAAATTCAATCTATTCTTTCACCAAAACTCAATCTTATATAGTATAAGGATATAAGAGTGTTGCTAGTGATAGAATTATTAGTAGCCTGCTACAACTATTACTTATGCTTTTGTCTAGTCTTTATCACCTATATATATATGTGTGTGTGAATTTTCAGCTAGAAAATGGTTCTAATATTACTACTACTTGTACTTTGAGAGTGTTAAGTAACAAGAGAAAGACACCCAATTTTCTCTACATTTCTATCTCATAACTTGGCAAGAAAAATCGGTGTTAGTGGAGTTATACTCTCTTAGTTGTGTAGAATGGTGAGAGTGACAGTAAATGTGACTAGATTGTTGTATCTTAGAGGTGACAAACAGGAGATCCTCCTGTATCGGAGTTGATTCTTCCGTAGACACTTGAATTACCTTAAAGAGAACAAGATATTCATGCCTCAACCCTTTACACTTATGCATCTTTATATTGTTATACTTAAGATTATTTTATTATTGTTGATTTTTCTATTGAACATTTATATTTTTTGTTCTAGCAGAATAATAATTTTAAAGTGATTTAGATCAAAATGGAGTTCAACTTGCAAGTTCTTATTTTCAACTCAATGACTAGAGTAGCCTACCAATGGATGAAGAAAAAAAGTTCTAAGAAGATCTCAGCAAGTAAGATAAATAAGCGGAAAAGAAAGTTCACGAGGAAAAGTTAGAAAAGGGAAGTTGTTGATTTCCATTGCTTGAATTATTTATTATATAATCTTTCTAATGAAGTTCATAACTTTTATGAAATTTCTTATCCAGTTGTCAAAATATTTGGAAGGATGTGTAGGAAAAAATATAGCATCAAAAAAGCAGATCAAGGGAGTTCAAATTGTTGAACAATTGCAATTCATTGCTGCACTAGACAAGTTGCCACCATACATTCTGGAAGAAATTTCAAAGGTGCCTTCTTAACACAAAAAAAAAAAAAAAAAGAGTTCTTATTTCTTCCAATGAGCAAACTGGTAACAATAATGATTGTACTAAGGTAAATCTAGTTGCAATGACAATATGTCTATTGGCTAGAATGGTAAGTATATATAATACACAACTGAAAAAAAAACATATAGAAGAATTAATATATTAATTAATGTAATCAACTTGTGATCGACTCGTGCCAATTTTTGAAATATGGCTTGACCAGATTGACTAGCTATCTAACTTGCAACCACTAATTTGGATAAATTTGATATGCTTATACAAAGAAGTAAATCTCTTTCAATTCATAGATTATGTGCATGCCATTGAAGGTTTTGCACACTACTTGAGGCTTGTATGATAATGTGTTATCTTTAATAAAAGATATACATGCTTGTACGTGTATCATATGCCCATTATCTGTGCTTGTGAGTTTCTTGTTTATACTAGTATATGGATACTAATCCATATTTCGATTGATAAGTGTTTATGGCCATGATGTGTGTCCTAGAGCTGTTACATCTCATATACCTCATAATTTCATGCTGTTATTGCTCATTTAATATGGCATATCAAATTCAGAATGCGAAAGGAATGGAAAGTGCTTGGAGTCACCACTGAAATTTATGATTGAGAATTTTGAGTCTATAATAAACGTCATATAAGTGCCCATTTTTCACAAGTTGTAAATTTTGCATTCTTATGAAATGCACTATCATATAGATGCATATGGATTTAAGTGCTCAATGGGATTTAATTTACGATATTCTGATTTGGTATTACTTGAAACAACTTTGGTGAGATCTTTTTTTTTGTTTTTTTTTTTTTTTAACATCACAACCTTCTACGTCGCTTACAGGGCAATGCCCATGTTTTTCACACCAAATCCCTAGTTCCCTTTATTCTTCTAATGGAAGGTACTCCTAATCTGTTCAGCCTAATTTCCCCCCTGGCCAGCATCGGAATCGTGTACCAACTGTCATAAATCCTAACCTCTTCTAGCGGGTGAGAAACCCCCTCATTGGACAAGATGTCAGCAACCTTGTTCGATTCCCTATAACAGTGCATGAAAATAGGACGTTCCCCCGCCAGGCTCAATATTTGCTCCACCTCCCTCTTAATGTGCCAGGGGCAATGTAGCCGCCCTTGTAATATCCCAATCAACAGTAATGAATCAGCTTGTATAGCCAGACGTTCAACTCCCTTCGCACGACATAATCGGATGCCAACCAAGGCAGCCAATGCCTCTGCTCGTAGACTCGTGCCCTCTCCAAGGAACGCCGAGAACGCAAACACAGCATGCCCATTCGAATCCCTGACCACCCCCCCTCCTCCACACACACCCGGATTCCCCTTAGAGCATCCATCGGTATTGAGTGTCAGCACCCCTTGGCCTCCCCCCTTCCATCGGACAACTCTGATATTGTAAACATAGGATGGGTAAGAGATCTTCTCATAAAATTGGGGGAAAGTCAGCATACCCAACTCCTTCTGAAACCGAATCTCAAACGCAGCTTTGGCATCCTGAGCGATCATATTACAAATACCTTGGCCTTGCGGCTGGATACCATCAAAGACCGCTCTATTCCTGGCCTTCCAAATATTCCAGCAAATGAGACTAGGGAGCACATCCAACACAAACCTCTGCTGCCGAGACAACGCCGGGGAAAGCCACCACGTAATCAAACGTGCATGTACTTCGGAGCCCTGGACGACTACACCGCACATGTTTTGGAAGTAACTCCAGACCTGGGAGGCCAGTTGTCCCGTGGAAAATACATGCTCAAGTTCCTCTCCTGTGGCAGGCACACAGCAGAAACATTTGGACGGTAACTGAAACCCCATCCGTCCCAGAATGTCATCTAGGGGCAATCTTCTCAGTAGCATTCGGTGCATGAAAAAGGAGATTTTCAATGGAATGCTAGATTGCCAGATTCGGGAGAAAGCCATTGAGTTATTCCGAACCTGGCGGACCTCTTGGTAGGCCGATGCTAAAGAAAATTTCCCTGACGTCGTAGGCATCCAGACAGCTTCGTCAGGGAACCCCCTGCGAGGCACCGGGAGCCGTACCACATTAGCAACACACTCCGGCGGTAATATTTGTGTCAGCCGATAGATATTCCAGCTCCCATTGCACACCAATTCCGCAAAGGACACATGCGGCGTATCTGCCACTCTAAGGAAAAGTGCCCCACTCCCCAACCAGTTATCGTACCAGAAACTGCACTTCCCCTCATTCACCAGCCATAATATAGATAATTCTACATGCCGGCTCACACTTACCATACGGCGCCACGTTGCCGACACAGACGGAGCGATGGTTGCTTGACAGGGGTGGATCCCATTACAATACTTTGCCCGCATGAACTGAGACCACAAAGATGATCCTGTGCGCAAACACCACCATAACTTACACGAGAATGCATTGTACACCTCCCTCACTTGCCGAAACCCCACCCCCCTCTTCCACCGGATAACATAGATTGGACCACCGGATCCAGTGGTGCTTCACTTGCTCGTGCGATGAGCCCCATAAGAAATTGGAACACAGCTTCTCAATGCTTTTAAATATTACACCAGGGACCACTGCAGCAGATAAGAGATGAATGGGCATGGATGTTAGGACGTGCTTGATCAACACCAGCCTCCCTCCTGGGGATAATAGTTTCGACTTCCATGATATAATTCGTGCGGCAATCTTATGACACATCTCCCCATAATAGGCCGATTTGCACCTTCCCAGATATAGAGGGAAACCTAGATATCGAACGGGGAACTGCTGGCGGGAGAATCCCGTTATCCGCTCTATTACTCTCCGGCGCGATGGTGACATAGATGGGTGAACTAAATAACTACACTTCTGGACATTCACCAGCTGGCCAGAAGCTTGCTGGTACTGCTCTAAAATCTGCATGACTTTCTTCAAGGATGTAGCCGAGCCATTCGCAAAGACCAGAACATCGTCGGCAAACGCCAGGTGTGTCACAGGGGGACATCCCCTGGGTACTGTGTAACCCAAAAAGCCAGATTGAGCTGCGAGACTGTTCAGCCCCCTTGACAATATCTCCGCTCCAATAACGAATAAAGTCGGAGACAAAGGGTCTCCCTGACGGATACCTCTACTAGATTTAAAAAACCCATGTGATGCCTCATTAATAATCACTGAAAACTACACGTTTGAGACCAACCTCCAGACCATGTCAATGAATCGTTCCCCAAACCCAAATTTGCGCAAGACACCGACAGTGAAACCCCACGAGACTCTGTCATACGTTTTAGCCATGTCTAACTTGAAAATTACATTTCCCCCTCTAGCCCGGTGTCTAAATCCCGACATCAATTCCTGGGCCAGTAGATAGTTCTCAGTTATATTCCTACCCTTGACAAAACCCGTCTGTTGCGGTGACACCAGTTTTGGCAATATCCCCGCAAGCCTATCCGCCAAAATTCTAGATAACACTTTATTAATAAAATTGCAAAGGCTAATAGGCCGATATTTCGAAAAGTCCTGAGGATTTGATACCTTCGGGATTAGAACAATAGATGTAGAAGTAATAAATCTAGGCAGCTCCGCCCCACAGAAAAAACTCAGCACTGCTTGATAGACATCATGTGCAATAACCTCCCATGCAAAAGTGAAAAACTTACCTGTAAAGCCGTCTGGGCCTGCCGAACTGTCCCCATCCATAGCAAAGATCACTCTTTTCACCTCCTCAAGGGACGGACATGTTTCAAGTGTCTCATTATCATCCCCCGTGACAATACGCGGAATCAGGTGCAATAAGTCCCCTGACGCCCCTCCTGGCTCCGAGAACAGCTCCGAAAAATACCGGACTGCCATGGAGGCAATCCCCTCATCGTCCTCAACCCATGCTCCACTCTCATTCTGCATCCTATGAATCGCCCCTTGCACCCTTCGTTGCTGTACGGTAGCATGAAAATACTTAGAGTTCCTATCCCCGTGCCGGAGCCATTTGACGCGAGTCTTTTGACTCCAAAATCGCTCTTCGTTGGACAACGCCAGCCGCAATTTTGCTTGAGCCTTTTGCAGCTCAACTTGAGCGTCCCCCGATTCATCCTCCTCCACTCGATTTTCCGCTGCTAACAAGTCCGATTCTGCCCTTTGAACAGCAATAAAAATATTTCCAAAAGCCTCCTTATTCCACTCCTGTATCACCCGTCGGGCCTTTACTAATTTGGAACATAACTTCCGTAGGGGGGAACCCGTACACTCTAACTGCCATGCATTTCGAATAACCTCCAGCAGATCCTTTCTGTCTGTCCAGAGATTCAAAAAGCGGAACGGCCTAGGCTTATTATCCATGCGTGATGCCAAACCAATCCTCAGCGAGGCATGATCTGACGGATGTCTAGCCAGATGGGCTACTGACACAGATGAAACGGCATCTGAGAAAGCTCCATTAATTAGTAGCCTGTCTAGACGCTTCCAAATTCGTTCGCGGCCTCTCCGATTATTACACCACGTGTAGCTGGATCCAGAGAATCCCGCGTCAAAGACCTCCGCCTCCTCCATGAATGACAGTAGCTCCATACCCTCTGCTCTAGCAAATGGTCTCCCCCCTCGCTTCTCGTGAGGGTCTATGATCACATTAAAATCCCCACAGACACACCACGGAAGTGAGGTGGGTTTGTCAGTCAACAGGTCTTGCCATAAAATTCGCCGCTCCTCCATCGTGCACCGGGCATGCACAAACGAGAAGCACAGCGACCTTGGTAGCCACGGGTGATGCACCAGTAACGTAATGTGCTGTGAAGAATTACCTATTATAGTACATGTAATCGGAGCACTAAACAGCACCCATATGTCTGCAGACAAGTTAACCACTACAGAATCAAATGGTAACCGCAGTTTAATAGAATCTATTTGGGATATTGCTAGCTTCGGTTCACAAATAGCAACAAATTTCAAGTTATGCAAACGAACTAGCTTAATCAGACGACGCAGGTTGGGGGGTTTGGAGACCTCTCTAATATTCCAAAATATCCCACTAATCATGGGATAAAAGTTGGAAAGAGTTTTGAGATAATGTTACCGATGACCGCAGTTGCCTATCTGATGGGAATTGAGCCCGAGCGCCTTTTTTCCTTGTTCGCCTATCCCGTTGGTCCAGTACGTCGGCTTGATCGATGTTGAGCTCCACCATTATGGCGGATACCGGATGTGCAGCGCCGATTAAGTCCTCCTCCTCAGCTGCACTTAAAGACCCTTGTTCAGCTAGCACCATAGCCCCATCCCCTATATCTTGCTCCTGCCATTGCGGCTCACGTGGGATATCATCACAGGCAGTACCCGCAACTACCTTTGGAGCAGAGTTGCTGCTAGTGCCGCTGGTGTCCACCGCCCTCTTCTCTCCAAGTTCCGCTGCCTGCTCTCTTCCCCCATTTGGAGCCAACTCCACCACTGCCAAATTAGCAGCTGCAACATCCACCGTCCCCATTGTTGCTCGATCCTCACTTGCTCCAGTTGCGGCAGCAGAGTCTGTCAACCCAGATGCTGGAGCGGTGACTGATGCCCCAGGTGCGGCAACAGCCTCTGCTGCCTTTTGAACTCCTAACGTCTGCCCACAGTTAGGATCATCATCTGCCATCGCTGTCTGCATTGTTGCAGCAAAAATATCTGCTGCACGTTGGGTCCCCAACACCTGCCCACCGTCTCTTGCATCAGCAACCATCACTTGCTGCCGCACCTCCGCACCCAGACATTGCGCAGCACTGTCCCGGGCAGATATGGCACCAGCTCCTGCGTCCCGTACGTCAACTGCCAATGCTGCTTGCTGTCTCTCCACTTGCGTATTCTGCTCCACAGCAATTGCTGCCCTTGTTTTTCCTTCCAACGCCGTTCCCTGCTCCACCTGTTTATACTCTCGTGCATTCCTTTGTGTCATCGTACCCAGGTCCTCCGCAGGTTTTTTGTATTCGTCCACCGCATGCCCCAGCCGCCAGCAGGTGGAACAATATTTTGGCAGATCATCCACCGCAACCTTCTGTCAGAAGCCTTGTTCCCCTGCCACAGCTACCCACACCCGTGAACATATCGGTTTCAGCAGATCAACCTCTACACAAGCTCTAGCTACACTTGGCCTTGTTCCTGATGCCGTGGCTGAGTCCACAAAAAGAGGTGTTCCAAGCTGCCATAGCCCTCGTGTCCAGATGCGGTTGAAGTCTGCTTCTGCTGCACACTTGAGGAGGACGTGACGGTAGTCCAGTAGTCCCACAGAAACCTGGTCTCTGAGATTTAGTGACATGAAGAATTTTCTGATGTCTTCCAATGGTGGTCTGCCATGGGAGAACTTACCCACCAAAGCCAGGCGGTATGGTGCTGCCAATCTGTCCGCCTCTTCCCTGGAGAAAACCACAGCCGCTTCACCCTTGTATGTGGTGTTTTGCCGAATCTGAATTGGAGATGTATCTGGTTGTGTGAATAGTTGGGAGAAAGATTTCTTCTTTGTTGGTGAAGCCCCCTCTTCCGGGGGCTGAAGAACAGCCATGGGCGGCTACCCTAGCAAGGCAGCCGAGAGAGATGCAGTTTTGTCCGAAAAAATAGCGATTAGCGTTTTTTTTCTACTTTTAACTTTGGTGAGATCCTTATACCTCCAACTATATAATTTATAGTTATAATAATTGGACTTTTGTACCATCTATATTGAAGTAAATAAATGTACGCTACAAGAGATTTGCACTATGTGTTTAGTTGCATACAGTTAAAGTACTACAAATAGTGGAGGTATTTTCTTTGCTAAAAATGAATGCAAAGAATTAGAGTCATTACTTGAAGGTACACAATCAAATGATATGAATTTTTATTGTGCACAAAAAAAAAAGTGAATTTTCATGTGATACCATGTTGTTTTTCAACTTGTGAATATGAATTTTAAAGTTACAATTATTTATGACATTAAATGAAATTGAGTATCATGTTTTCGATTTTTTTAATCCTTTCTTTGAGTCTTCTTTGAGTTTGTTCAAATGGATACACACTCAAAAGTGTAAACATAATGTGAATGCACTTGAGTTATTTATGTGATATTCTTGGAAAAAGGAAAACCCATGGAGAATTGTGAGAATGGTTCCTAGTAGGTAAATAGACTACGGACCATATACATGAAACAAAGAATTATTGGGCAAGAAAATAGTAGTTCCTAATAGTAAACTAATGGTCATCCATGTTGATGATTTCTGGTGAGATTATTGGCTACTAGGATTGACAAAAATTGAAAAAATTGAGTCTTCACTTGAAGTGAATATAATTTCTTGTATGGCAATTATGTGAGAAATATTCTCATGAAATATTCGTATAAAATCATTGTGTTATTGTGATATCCGGTGAAATAATTTGACTCAAATGCTAATGAGATCATATCTTTGTGACAGGTGTCGCGCCTGTGCAATAATAAATTGCTACTCTAAAAGATGTAAACAAGTACAATAGCAAGTAGGGTTGTCTCCGCAGAGATTGGGAGGAAACTTGTTTCTTTTCAAACAGAGTCAATTAAGGGGGGTTTTGGGATATTTAAAATTAGAATAAAGCACTTAATGAAAATAAAACTAATTAAACAAGAGTAAATTAAATTAAACCAAGGATTAACAAGCTCTAACCCAGGAATTAACTTCGGGAGTAATTCATACAACTGATCATCAATGTACGAATTATCTCAATTATTCACTAATAAACAGGTTATAGTTGTCATCGCGATAAACAACCAACTTTTTCTTAATAGCTCAATATTTAATGTACACCTATTAACTACTTCTCTAACTAAGAAACAAACATAGTACGCCCGTAGAATTTAATTTCTTGCTTGCATTAAAAACTAGAAAAGTCATGTTCTAATCAATAAACACACTATCAAAATTTATTTAAATTATATCGTACATCTCCCTAACGTGGCCCCAATCACGTTAGTCATCACTTATTTGGGACAATTAAACAATTACGGATTCAACTATCCTAATTGACAATAGATTATCAAGTTGAATTAAATATCGGGTCCTGATATTCAAATAACAAAATAATCATAAGAAATTAAGCCAAAAGATATACGAATACTAACGAATAATAGCAATTGATAAAAACAATTAGATTTCACAGATGTAGATGAACCAAATCCGTGTTACTTCCCAGCTAGAAAAGGATTTAGCCACGCATCATCGAGGGAAATCCACAAAACTCCATTGATAACAGTTGCATATGGTCTTTTACCTAAAACTAACGAAAGATAAGAAGAATAATGAAACGAGTGACAGCTGTGTCTGATACTTCAAACAGTCCTCCCGAAATTATTGCTAGCCAACTCCTAATCAAACGGGAATCCGGCTTTCCTAATTTCTCTTGTTTCCTACTTAATATCAAATACTAATAATAAGATATATTCCCCAAAATAGAAAAAGTAAACTACTAAAGATAATATTCCAAGTTTTCTAATTCAATATTAGGACTAATAATGAAAACTAAAGTCTTCAAAATCTTTCTTCAAAAACTGTCTTGAATTCGACTTGGACTTGGAAACCAGCCCCGAACGTGTCACCATCAAAATAACTCTTAGAATGCTGAAAAATTGCTCCTTTTATTCACGTCTCACATAATTCCATACAATTAGCACAATTAATGAAATATAAGTAAAATCTAGTAATTAAAATAATATTTGGCTAAAATCAAGGGAAAATAATTATAAATTGAATAACAATTTTGCCAAACGGGATCCTCTGTCCATTATATCTGTCCATTTTTCTTGTCCAATGTAAAACTATGTAATTTCACTTATTAATATTGTTGATGTGACACATAACATCAAATGCATATTTAAGCGGTGTTTGGTAAATGGGTTTCAAATTCAATAATATCCTAATTGTACCCATAGTCTTCTACTTTGAAATTTCGTGCTGCATGATTCAGATGAGATTAGACAAGCATTTGAGGATGAGATTCTTGAATTTGTCAGAGTTGCAGTTACGTGCAATCATATTGATTCATAAAGTAGGCCGTCCATGCTAAAATTAAATTTGAAACTCATTTACCAAACATCCCCTAAATATGCATTCAATGTTATGTGTCACATCAGCAGTATTAGTAAGTGGAACTACGTAGTTTTGCATTAGAGAGGAAAAATGGACAGATATAATGGATAGAGGATCCCATCTGCAATTTTGCATCTTATCAATTCCCCACCAAACCTAGATCATGCTTGTCCTCAAGTATGAGAAATAACAAATCAAGCAAACAAATTCAAACAATGGCTATTTATCAAATTACTCATTGTCAAGATACAATTAAAACACATGTCAACCATTAGTGGCTAAATCCCAAGAAATATCCCTCTGGTTAACTTCTAAACTGAAAGACTCTTCCAATTCTTGGCTAACTAATCTAAGGATGTAAAATAATCAACCAACATTTGTCAGCAAACGATTCGACTATTAAGTAAAATCTCAACATTAAACCCATGGATTGGCAGGCTAACATAATCAACTGCATACTCGCACATTTTTTATTTTTTTCTCTTTTTTTCTTTTTAGGAGAGAAAGCTTAGTCCTTGGCCATTCAAATCTTTTGACGTGAACTTCAATATCTATTAAATGAAGGAACCCAGTTACTCAGCTGTCATCGCGTAATGACTACATGCTCATAGCTATCACCATTTTTTGACGTGAAAGTTGACACTTTTGGTGAAAACCCCAGTTACTAGGCAATGATAACCAGCGGAGTATAACCAAATATGATTCACAGATTAGCAACAAAATAAAATTAAAGATCACAAACATGATTTATCTCCTGAACATGGAGAATTAAGATCAATAGTTGAATCAATTTACATGAAAAATGGCAGACAAATATTTACAATATCTAGAAAAATTAATCAAAAATTGTAAAAGTAAAAAAATCTCAAAAATTTACCATAGAGATACGCTTAGACTTATCTATGTCATACTTGATACATTAATACATAAAACCTTATCATAGAAAAATTTGAAATATCTAGCCATTATTAATCAAGAATAACCACAAAAATATTCAAGAAATGGAAAAATTTGGATAAAATTCAATAAAGTCGAACAAAAAATCCAACAAAAATATCTACACTTGTACTTTTTCAATATATTATCAAATACTACCCCCCTCCACACCTAAATCTTACATTGTCCCCTATGTAAGAAATAAAATAAAATAAAAGCAGAGGAAGGGAGCAACGAAACTTCCCTGATTATCAAGGGGGGGCTGTGGCACGTTATAGATAAGAGGCAAAAGACGTGAAACTCGATGCTGGCCAACCGACCATCCATTTGATGGACTTGCCCATATAGGTAAGAAATCCCATTTAATGGTACACCAATTCAGCCGACAATTTTATGGGCTATGATTGCGAACAGTGAAGCAAATTGGAGGGGGTATGAAATTGATCCAGTAGCAATGGAAACCTTCCTTGGGGCGCAACAGTCGATGGTGAAGAAAGACAGACGGCTGTGGCAAAGAAAATGGAAAGGAAAGAAAGGTAGAAAGAAAGAAGAAAGGAAAAAAGAAAGAGAGAAAGAAAGGAAAGAGAAAAGGAAAAAGAAAAGGAAAGAATGAATGAATGAAGAAGAGAAAAAAAAATCTTTTTTGTCTTTTTTTTTAACTTCCCCTTTGTTGGAATAAGATGTGGGCACGTCTTGTTGGTTGAAACTCTTCTGATGATGAAGTTGACTAATTACAAGTTACAACGTGCGCTCTAGGCACAGGCGCGTCATGTTGCCTTATCGGCCTTCAAAGTTGAAACATGAGCTCTCCATGCAAGTAGGCATGGGTACGGCATGTTGGTGTAAATGCTTCTTATGGTGGAGCAGATTATTAGCACATTACCACGTGCCCTCAAGGCGCGGGCACGTCCTATCGGGAGGAAGTTTTCTGACCTTTGAAACATCAAAAACGAAAATTAAACACGCCAAATATGAAAAATCCAAGATAAATATAATGAAACTAATAATAAAAAGAAACTAAAAATTGAATTGGGTTGCCTCTCAATAAGCGTCTTTTTTTAATGTCTTTGGCTAGACATTATTATGCTTGTTCATGGAGGATAAAATTTTGTAACTCGTTTCAATGCTTCATCTTTTATGTAATCTTGGTAACCTTCGTAAATAGAGTAATCTTTGAATACACGAACTACAGTTTTCCATGGACTAGTAGATGGCGCAAAACAAACAAGTAATGATTAAGTAATGATCTTAATTTTTCACTAACTTCTTCATCATGACCACTTACTGGTTCAAAATATTTAACCATAGCAACTCCTAATTTATTCTTGTCATGAAACTCAAAATCTTCCGATATACCAAAATCAATTTCACTAACAGAAATTATAGAATAAGAGTTAAGAGAATGTTGGTTAAGGAATACAGGGGATGTCACCATATTTGGAGATTGTTCACTGGATTCATTCACTTGAATGATTTGATGTCGGGATCTCATTTTTTGCACTTCAACTCCCTTTTCAACTACATCTTTAGGTCCTTCTTCTCGAGACTCTTGCAGTTTCATGTCACTTGTCAAGATAATTGTACTCTCATCTTCCTTAAGATCGATTATGGTCTGTGAGGGCAATTCTTCACAAATTGGAGAGATCAATTGGCTTATTATAGATGCCAATTGACAGGTGCCGAACCTGTGCAATAATAAATACCTACTCGAGAAAAATACAGATTTTTGTATATAGCGATGAGTAGGGTCGAATCCACAGGGACTGGGGATAATTCGTTTCTTCTAGAGTTCAGAGTATGGGGGGTTTTTGATGGGAGGAAAATAAAAATAAAAATAAAACAAACAAAATTCAAAACTAACTCACAAAGTACAATTTACTAAAAATAGCAATTAATAAAAGTTCTACCCAAAGGATCAACTGCTCAGGCACGGTCCAATTAAATGCTCATCGATGCAAAGATATTTCACCCATTTTTCACTAGGTTAGTTATAGCCATCAATAAGCTCTGACAACCAGCTCTTCCTTACTTTTTCGACAGTCAAGGTACGACCATTGACTGCTTTTCTAACCAGATAACAACCCTAGGTACGACCGTAGGAATTTAATTACCCAATTGCATTAAAACTAGAAGAACCCAACCCTAACCAATAAACACGCTAAGAGGGTTTATTTAAATTAGATCTTGCATTTTCCCATCATAAAACCAATTATGGTGGTTGCCACGAGGTGTTAACTAAATGAACAATTACGGATTCTATTTAATTAACGTGGCAGTAGGCTATTAAATTAAATCAAATACCCGGCCGTTGATATTCAATTAATAAAATACCCATGAACAATTAATTCAGGAAACGCACGAATAGCAATTAATTGGAGGAAATAATGAAGATTCGGTTAGATCTCACAGATATTATGGACCGCGCCTTCGCGTCAATCTTTGGGTAGAGGAGAAAATTAGCCGCTCCTCATCATGCCAAGCTCACGCGATTTAATTGATTTCATCCACGCAAACATCCAAAACAATTAATTCCAAGGAGTGGAGCGAAGTCAAGAGACGGGATATAAACGATGGAAAATTGTCGCCAATCAAAAGCGAGCGTCAAAGGCGTCCACAGCAAAAGATTGAAAAGGTGAACTCCTAAGCCAGTCTAAGTTGCGGCTGAAGAAAGCCAAAAGCCAAGTCACAGGCGTCTGACCCCAGGAAAAAAAAGAAAAAGCAAACTAAGCCTAAAAGTCGATGTCCCTCTTGAATCTCGCTTTTCTTCTTTATATAGCCGCCGCAGTAGGTTTCCAACGTCTGACCCAATTCCTCTAACAAAAGCTATTTCCCTCTGGAGTTTTGATCCCATGCGCCTGGTCCACATGGGCCACGGTCCGGCTTTCGGTTTCGTCCACCTTCTAAGGCGTGGCCACGCTCTGAAATGAAAAGTCTTCTGGAAATTCACCCCGTGAGATCATTTTTCATGCCGACCACCTACAATTCACACCAGTATCGAATATGAGTGAAATTCCAACTCTTAGCACCGTGAATAGCCAAAATTAGGACAAAATAACACTGCAAAATGTGCCAAATAACGGTTCTATCAAATCCCCCCACACCTAGACAATGCTTACCCTCAAGCATTTCGGAGCTCAAAAGTACAACCAAGAGAGCAGAGGTCATGGAATAGTCTATACTAACACAAGCATCTCAGGTCCCTGACAATATCGCCAAAATTAGAACACACCAGACAGGTTGTAATTCAAAGAAAATATATGAATACTAGGAACGCTCAAATCAACATCACGGAATGGCATTACCATAAGCTTGCACATTTATCACATCTCCACCACTCGAAAGTGAACTAAATACACAAATCAAAGGGACTTTGGTGGGATTGTAATGGGGTCCAGGTGAAAGGCAGGTTAAGAAGGTATAGATAGGGGGTAAAGTGTCAAGAGAATGTCCGAACTCACCAAAAATCATAGTGCTTTATCGGAGGAGTTTCACTAACAAGGCAGTTTCCATTTGCTGTACACACTGTACAAGTGCGCCAAAATTTTTTTTTTTTTTTTCTCTTTTTTTTCTTTTTTTTTTTCGGACTGCTCGCAAGGCGTGGGCACGCCTTGTAGCCCTCAGTCCTCTGGTCACGAGGTCTTTTCAGGTTTTTTTTTTTTTTTTTTTAAAGGAAAAATTCTATAAGGCGCGGGCACGCCCTGTAAGCCAAAGTCCTCTGGTCTGGAGGATTTTATTTTTTTTTTTCCGATTTCCCCTCCTTTATACAAGGATAGCATCATATAGTTCCTAATCTAACAGCACTTGCAACCCCAATTCTGTTTGCTTTGCACAAATGATGGAATTCAGACATCCCTTGACAACACAGGGGTAAACAAGAAAGTTTAAAGAAGTCTTGGGTTAACAAACCCGGATATCAACCAGAAACGAAGGACAAAAACTCAAATTGGTTCACTATTGGGAGATAAGATGAGGGCTTGATTTTTTTAATAGCTGAAGAGGGTTAAATCCTAAATGCCCTTATCATTTCAAATGCATCCAATTCAACAAAAATGTGGTCTCGACATGTATAAACTAGCAAGTTCTAGAATGCCAATACCATGCGTGATACCCACTCAATCAAGCAAAATAGAGCAAACAAGAATAATATGCTCAAGCAAGGCTCAAAAGCTCCCCAAAAGTTACAAGAATGGGTCAATTCCTGCATATTCAACATTCAACGACATTGCCAAGGGAAACAAAATGCATAGCTAGCATACTTAACCACAGAACCACTCACTTTCATCACAGCAACATGCCCCAACACTAACAAGCATAAAAATAACCAAAAAGCCGACTAACTACAATGTTTTTCATTTTTCATTTTTTTTCTTTTTTTTTGTATCATTCATCCCATGTGTTTTTTTTTTTTTTTAAAAGTAACAAAGCAAAAAGAACTAATGAAAAAGAACTAATGGAAGCCACTCACTCCCCCCACACCTAAAATCTACATTGTCTTCAATGTAGAAAAGACAAATGAAGTATATGGGGAAAAGAAAAGAAACTTCCCTGACTACCGGGGAGAGAAAGTGAGACACTAAGGCGGAGGAGGTGAGACGGCTGCGTGCACAAGGTGGTGTGGTGGCGGCGGACGCAACACCAACAGGAAGGAGAAGACTGAAGTTTCTTTTTCGGAAGGGTTGGAAGGCGTGGGCACGCCTTAGAAGTTATAGTCGTCTGACCGTCAATTCCAAAACTCCATTCCTTAGGTGTGATGACCTAGCGTGGGCATGCCTAGCTGCCAATTTCCTGTCACAAAATAACAACCCATTAAATGACACTAACACTTAACAAAAACTTAAAAAAATATAAGAAAACTAAAACAAAAGAAGCCTTGGGTTGCCTCCCAAGCAGCGCCTTTCTTTAATGTCTTTGGCTAGACATAGCACCACTCTTTAGTCTGGATGTAGTTGAATTTTCCTTGTAATTGGTGGCCCTCCTCCAGGATCCACATGGCCATTGAGTGCAACTTTTTTTCTAAATTTTCTCTCCATTTTTACCTCATGAATTGCTTTCATCCTATAGGACTTGTTCGCAGCAACATTGAATTTACCCCTATAAGCAAATTTAGAAAATTCTTGCACAGAGGGATTAGTGGTATACATAGCAAACACAGAATGAGAGTTAACAGGATGTTTTATTGTATCAAAAATATTAAAGTGGACTATTTCTCCATCAAATTCCATCGTGAGAGTACCCTTACTAACATCAATTTTAGTTTGAGCAGTACTCAAAAATGGTCTTCCTAATATAATGGGTGATGGATTTGGGGCACTTCTATCATCCATGTAAAGCACATAAAAATCAGCAGGAAAAATTAATCCATCTACTTGCACTAAAACATCCTCAACTATCCCATCCGGATAAGCACATGTGCGATCAGCTAATTGAATTATTATCCCCATTTCTTTTAAAGGTCCTAAATTTAGGGAATCATAGATTGACTTAGGCATCACGTTAATAGAAGCCCCTAAATCTATCATGGCATTTTTGACACCAGAATGACCAATCTTACAGGGGATAGCAAACATACCCGGATCTCCGCATTTGGGTGGGAGTTTCCTTTGAAGCACAGCTGATACATTCTCTCCTACCATCACTCTTTCATCACCCCTTAGCTTTCTTTTGTTAACGCACAAGTCTTTCAAGAAATTTGCGTATTTGGGTACCTGCTTAATCGCGTCCAATAGGAGGATGTTTACTTGAACTTTGCGGAACACATTCAGGATTTCTTTTTCCTTTTCTGCCCTCTTTGTCTTTTCCAACCTGCAAGGAAAAGGAGCTATATTAGATTTAATAGGGATCGAAGGAATAGATGTTACCTTAGACTCCTTGCGAATACGCCCTTCCTCTTCAATTTCCTTCTCTATCTCCTCTTCACTTTTGCTTTTTGAACTTTTCACTTTGGACCCTTCCAGTTCCTTGCCATTCCTCAGCGTCATAGCACTTACATTCCTGGGATTTACCTCGGATTGCGATGGCAGTTTCCCATAAACGTGGGACTCCAAACGGTTGATAGCAATTGCCATATGGCTTATTCGAGCCTCCATATCCTTCATACCTGATTTTGTGTCCTGCTGGAACTGATTGGTGCTCATGGTTAAAGCTCTAGTTTCTTGCTGGAGTTGAGCCATATTTGTGGTCAATGACCTGGTCTCTTGCTGGAGCTGGGCGGTAGTCGTGGCTAGGCTCTTGACAATATCCTCCAAGGAACTCCCTGTGTTGGAGGATGAGAGTTGCGGTTTCGGTTGCCATGGTTGCTGAAATCCTGGTGGACGATTGGAGAATGCATTTTGTGGCCTATTTCCATAGCTGAAATTGGGGTGATCTCTCCAACCCGGATTGTACGTGTTGGAGTATGGATCGTATTGCCTCCGAGGCGCGGGCACGCCTCCAGCCATGTTCACTTGCTCAGCCCCTTCCTCTTGCAATATAGGGCATAAGTCAGTATGGTGGCCCATATTTGTGCAGATTCCACAGGCCTTTACTTGGGGCACATTTCCCACCACTAATTGTCGAACAACGGATGTTAGCTCCGATATCTGCTGCTGGAGGGATGACGTCTCCACCTCGTTGACTCTACGGGGAGGGTTGCTCTCACGTAAGCCAAATTGCTGGGAGTTCTCTGCCATGGTTTCGATGAGCTCCCACGCTTCCCTCGGTGTCTTGTTTGCAAGTGCCCCACCACTCGCAGCATCAATGATACTCCTATCTGTTGATTGGAGCCCTTCATAGAAGTATTGGATTAACAGTTGCTCACTAATTTGATGCTGCGGGCATCTAGTGCACAACTTGTTAAACCTTTCCCAGTATTCATACAAGGACTCATCGGGATATTGTTTAATGCCGCAGATCTCCTTCCTCAAACTCGCAGCCCGGGATGTAGGGAAGAATTTTTCCAAAAATTTCTTTTTCAACTGTGCCCATGTGGTAATACTACCTGCTGGTAGGTAGTACAGCCAATCTTTAGCTGCATCCTTGAGAGAGAACGGAAAGGCTCTCAGTCTAATTTGCTCTTCAGTGACCCCAGGAGGTTTCATACTAGAGCAAACCACCTCGAACTCCTTTACGTGCTTGTGGGGTTCTTCGCCAGAGAGACCATGGAAATAAGGTAAGAGTTGAATCAACCCCGACTTCAGTTCGAAAGCAGTATTCTCAGCCAAGGCGGGGAATGTGATGCATAAGGACTGGTGAGTCAGCTCCGGGGCAGCCAACTCCCTCAATGTTTGGGTGTTGGCCATGCTTATTTCGTCTTCTACTGGCTCGTTTGCAATAAATAAGTGCCCTTCTTTTCGTCTCTTGGTCTCTTGCCTCCGCTTACGCGCTGCCTTCTCAACCTCCGCGTCGTATATCAATTCACCTGTGCGAGAAGAACGGGGCATAAACTAGCAAAAGTACCAAGAAAGATAAAATAAAATAAAAATAAAATAAGAACTGAATTTGAAAAGAAACAAATAATCCAAACGCCAACTCCCCGGCAACGGCGCCAAAAATTGACAGGTGCCGAACCTGTGCAATAATAAATACCTACTCGAGAAAAATACAGATTTTTGTATATAGCGATGAGTAGGGTCGAATCCACAGGGATTGGGGATAATTCGTTTCTTCTAGAGTTCAGAGTATGGGGGGTTTTTGATGGGAGGAAAATAAAAATAAAAATAAAACAAACAAAATTCAAAACTAACTCACAAAGCACAATTTACTAAAAATAGCAATTAATAAAAGTTCTACCCAAAGGATCAACTGCTCAGGCACGGTCCAATTAAATGCTCATCGATGCAAAGATATTTCACCCATTTTTCACTAGGTTAGTTATAGCCATCAATAAGCTCTGACAACCAGCTCTTCCTTACTTTTTCGACAGTCAAGGTACGACCATTGACTGCTTTTCTAACCAGATAACAACCCTAGGTACGACCGTAGGAATTTAATTACCCAATTGCATTAAAACTAGAAGAACCCAACCCTAACCAATAAACACGCTAAGAGGGTTTATTTAAATTAGATCTTGCATTTTCCCATCATAAAACCAATTATGGTGGTTGCCACGAGGTGTTAACTAAATGAACAATTACGGATTCTATTTAATTAACGTGGCAGTAGGCTATTAAATTAAATCAAATACCCGGCCGTTGATATTCAATTAATAAAATACCCATGAACAATTAATTCAGGAAACGCACGAATAGCAATTAATTGGAGGAAATAATGAAGATTCGGTTAGATCTCACAGATATTATGGACCGCGCCTTCGCGTCAATCTTTGGGTAGAGGAGAAAATTAGCCGCTCCTCATCATGCCAAGCTCACGCGATTTAATTGATTTCATCCACGCAAACATCCAAAACAATTAATTCCAAGGAGTGGAGCGAAGTCAAGAGACGGGATATAAACGATGGAAAATTGTCGCCAATCAAAAGCGAGCGTCAAAGGCGTCCACAGCAAAAGATTGAAAAGGTGAACTCCTAAGCCAGTCTAAGTTGCGGCTGAAGAAAGCCAAAAGCCAAGTCACAGGCGTCTGACCCCAGGAAAAAAAAGAAAAAGCAAACTAAGCCTAAAAGTCGATGTCCCTCTTGAATCTCGCTTTTCTTCTTTATATAGCCGCCGCAGTAGGTTTCCAACGTCTGACCCAATTCCTCTAACAAAAGCTATTTCCCTCTGGAGTTTTGATCCCATGCGCCTGGTCCACATGGGCCACGGTCCGGCTTTCGGTTTCGTCCACCTTCTAAGGCGTGGCCACGCTCTGAAATGAAAAGTCTTCTGGAAATTCACCCCGTGAGATCATTTTTCATGCCGACCACCTACAATTCACACCAGTATCGAATATGAGTGAAATTCCAACTCTTAGCACCGTGAATAGCCAAAATTAGGACAAAATAACACTGCAAAATGTGCCAAATAACGGTTCTATCACCAATGCATTCCATCCTCCATCCTTTTAATCATCATTTGTGTCTCCTGTTGAAATCGATATTTGTTAGCAGTTACTAATTCCATCATTTCTTCAAGAAACATACCTGACATGAATGATGATTGTTAAGACTCTTGCTGTTGAAAACTCATTGTCTCCTATTGAAGTCGATGTGTATTAACAGTTACTAATTCCATCATTTCTTCAAGGGACATATCTGACATGGATGATGGTTGTTGCTGTTGATATTGATGTTGAAGACCTGTTGACCCTTTTGCATAACTCAAGCTGAAATTATTCTACCATCCTTGATCATACTCGTTTGAATAAGGATCATACCACGTTTGAGATCGAGGTGAAAAATCTCCAAATTAATTGATTGAGACATTTAGGTAATCTTGAAATGCGAGGCACATATCGGTTGAATGAGTCGTGGCATAACAAATTTCACATGTTGCAACAGCCATTTTTTCTATAAGAGAGTTCAGTGAATCTAAATGTTGATCATCAGGAAAAAAAAAAAAAAAACAAGCCTTATTACCTCTCTTAGGAATAAAATCCAGTCTATCACCAAAATATTGGGTGTTAGCAGCCATAAACTTGTAAAAAAAAAGAAAAAATAAAAATGAAAATAAGATGAATTAAAAAAGAAACAAATTAACGAGACACCAGTCCCTGACAATGGCCCCAAAAATTGACAGGCATCGCGCCGTGTAATAATAAACTCCTACTCTAAAAGATGTAAACGAGTACAATGAAAAGTAGAATCGTTACCGCAGGGATTGGGAGGAAACTTTTTTCTTTTCAAACAGAGTCAATTAAGAGGGGTTTTGGGAGATTTAAAATTAGAATAAAGCACTTAATGAAAATAAAACTAATTAAACAAGAGTAAATTAAATTAAACCAAGGATTAACAAACTCTAGTCAAGGAATTAACTTTGAAAGTGGTTCATACAACTGATCATCGATGCAAGAATTATCTCAATTATTTTCTAATAAAACAGATTATAGTTGTCATACATACGATAAACAAAACAACCAACTTTTTCTTAATGTCTCGATAGTTAAGGTACGCTCGTTAACTACTTATCTAACCAAGAAGCAACCCTAAGTATGTCCGTAAAATTTAATTTTTTACTTGCATTAAAAACTAGAAAAACCTTATTCTAATCAATAAACACACAACCAGAATTTATTTAAATTAGATCATACATCTCCCTAACGTGGCCCCAGTCACGTTAGTCATCACTTATTTGGGACAATTAAACAATTACGGATTCAACTATCATAATTGACAATAGATTATCAAGTTGAATTAAATATCAGGCCCTGATATTCAAATAACAAAATAATCATAAGAAATTAAGCCAGAAGATATACGAATACTAATGAATAAAAGAAATTGATAAAAACAATTAGATCTCATAGATGTAGATGAACCAAATCCTGTTACTCCTCAACTAGAAAAAGGATTTAGCTACGCATCATCGAGAGAAATCTACTAGACTCCATTGATAACAATTGCATATGGTTTTTGCCCTAAAACTAACGAAAAATAAGAAGAATAATGAAACAAGTGACGGTCGTGTCTAATACTTCAAAGAGTCCTCTCGAAATTGTTGTTGGCCAACTCCTAATCATACGGGAATCCGACTTTCCTAATTTCTCTTGTTTCCTACTTAATCTCAACGACTAATAATAAGATACATTCCCCAAAATAGAAAAAGAAAACTACTAAAGATAATATTCCAAGTTTTCTAATTCAATACTAAGACTAATAATGAAAATTAAAGTCTTCAAAATCTTCCTTCAAAAATTGCCTTGAATTCGATTCGGACTTGGAAACCGGGCCCCAAACGTGTCACCATCAAAGTAACTCTTAGAATGCCGAAAAATTCCTCCTTTGATTCATGTCTCACATAATTCCCTACAATTAGCACAATTAACTAAATATAAGTAGAATTTAGTTATTAAATAATATTTGGCTAAAATCAAGGAGAAATAATTATAAATTGAATAACAATTTTGCACCCTATCACTTTGTTTTTATATTTTGGTGATGATAGTAAGTAACTCAAGCTTGAGACAAAGATCTATGAGAGGGATGTAACTAAAGTTCATTAATCATAAATCACATAGAAGGATACCCAACCTAATGATTGGAGACCTCAGGAGTTAGGTTCAAAGGAAAAAAAATGAATTACATGGTGATTTGAAAAAAGGTATGCACAACTTTTGATAATTGTGGTCCATTCTTATGGTGTATCTGTATGCATCCCATAACAAAAGAAAGGTTGAGCTATATTGCTTTTAATGAATCTATAACTCTGATAAGTGGTGTGTTTGAGTTACACGGGAGTACCCTTGATGAATTTCACCTACATGAGTGCAACAGTGGGGTCGCCCTAAAGGAAATTGGAACTTGTTCTCTTATGCACTCATGAAAAACTGGGATTAAACCCAGGCCGTAAAATGCCAGTTTTGAAAGCTTATGACAACACTTGGACTATTGTGTGTGTAAGATAATATCCAATATCCCAAAAGCAGCCATAGTTCAAGATTGAAAGTCACTCTCGGTTCTAGTATTGGAAATTACTATAACGTTCAATATAAGTTCAAGGCATTGCTAACCATATTATGTATAGTAGCTCTTTCTTGCCATATTATAGTATACTATGTTATTTTATTAAAATAAGTGGGGGATTGTTGTAGTATTTTAATAAAATAGTCAATTTTTTAATTAAATGCATATGTTACAAGAGAGAAATTTGGTAACGGGCTTTTTTGGAGTTGGTGGCAATTGATTACATTTGATTAATTAACCTTTTTATTAGAAATTAAAGGTCTTCAATTACAATAACTTTATAACCTACAGTTCTAATTTGATTAGCTAATAACTTTGCTTTCTCTTTAAATCCACATGCATCTCTTATTAGAGCAATGAGTCTGGTTTAAAGGCTCAAATCAGTAACTTTAATATGTCGAACTTAAAGTAGGTTAATTCCTTCGTTTATTACTCAAAAAAAAAAAAAATCATGCAAGTATTGATCTGAGAGAGAGAATGTATTGAACTACAAGCCGACAGGCTACGAAATATTTTTTTTTCCAGCCCAGCAGCCGGCTGGATTTTTTTCAAACAGAAAACTGCCCGGGAGTCATCATCAAAAGCAAAAAAAAATGTCAGCAGTCAATTATTAAAAAAAATGACTAGTCAACCTTGATAACCAATCCAATTGAGCAAAAATTAATTAGCAAAAACATTAACCTAAGAACATTGCGTGATTATTGATCCCCATCCATGGATCACAAAATGCCTGCAAATAGCTGATAAATGAAGACTTGAAAAATCTTAAAAATTGCCAAAAGAAAAAAGAAAAAAACAAAGATACCATTTCCAAAAAAAAGGTAATAAAAAAAAAGCTCTGCCAGGTGATAGCCACAAAAAAAAAAAAAATGATGCTGACTTGGGAGTATTTTTCAACATTGATATCAAACGATTTAAAGCAGCCTTATTGTCTATGATATTCCTAAAATGAGCTGCATCAAAGAAAACAAATAGAAGTTAGCAAACATGAATTCTTCCTTTACAAATATTTTTGTTACAATTCTGGGTTGCAAAATGAAAGATTTCCTTCCCATATGCTACTCATACGGATGGAAAAGAATTATTGAAGAGGAGGCGATGGAATGTCTATGAGCTTAAATTTCTATTTAGGAACGATGTTTCAAGTTAGGTTTGGCATCGGCTTAGTTGACAAGAACGTGTTACTTTTTCACAAAAAATTGTGAGTTCAAATTCCGCTGTCATGATTCTGAAGGCATATTCTGACACGTGAAGGTGACCAGAACCGAACCCACTAAAAAAAGAAGTTTCAAGACTAGAAATAATCATTTGCTTCAGGGCAATTTATGGGAAGCATATTTGTGAGTCAAATTTAAAAAAATTATTTCAAGATTCAGGTGGTTCATTTTCGTCAGGTATATTATGGATTGAACTTCAGTATAATTCTAGGAAAAACAAAAAAGTATGGTCAACAGGCGGATGTTCTGGCCAGGCGACTTTGGTGCCGAATGAGGTGGTTATTGCTGAGAAAACTTGCTTCTTGGGGTAGCTCCTAAGCAGTATTTTGATTGATTATTTTCATCCATCACCTGACCCAGTGTGATTTTGCTTCTTTCTGATTTTCATTTAGAGTTTTGCCATTTTCTAGTGGCCATGTTACTAGAATTTTCTGCTATTTCTTTTGGGCACGAAGTTAGTTGTGATGCCATTTTGCGGCCCAATGTCAGCATCGGTAAGCCGAAACGTGACCAGAGATGGGTTTTGGGACCAAGAGAATATGTGGGTCTAAATTGTATCATTGTCAAGGGAATAGGTAGAAATAGTTTGAACTCTTTAATTTTCATATTGACGCGATTTTTTTTTTTGTAAAAAAAAAAATTTAGTGAAAAATACACAAATTTTACAGGTTAATTAAACTAATAAATCAAGAAATAAAAATTTATTTACTTGCTATGCCACATTTTCGTTAATCATCTAGTGGCTAAGTTTAAAACCTCAAAATATAAAGATTTTGAGTTTTAATCCTCCTCTGACCTCTCCTCTCCCTACGCTGCTAGAAAAAGGAAAACAAAAAGTTGAGCGACTGTACAATTTGGCCATTTGTATTGCAAAATGGCAACTTGATCATTCATTTGCTTTTGACCAAATAAAAATTATCCAAAGCCGCACTAATCTTCATCTTCATACATTAATTAGGCCAAAAAAAAATTATGGCTATTCAGAAACGAAATAGTAATTGTGCAAATAAAGAAAATTAAACTGCAAATATGAGAAAAAAAAACTGCAGTGCAAAATATATTGTTGATGGTCTCAACTCGTTCTAAGTTTTCATTTTCATTGCTCTACTCCCTTCCCGAAGATTAACTCTATTGGAAAATAAAAATTAATTTCCACAGACAGAAAGGAATGCTGAAACTAACAAACACATAATCAACATGTTAATTTTATTTTGTCTGACCAATAATTCAGTTTATTATTGTTTCTGGTTATGGAGATGAACCCATTTTGGCAGCAAAAGCAACTAATTGTGTTCTGTGGCACTAATATTTTCAATCTTTATAGGAGCAAGAATATGATTGAAATTTCAGCTCATATAGTTCCTCTTTCAATAGAGTAACTAGGACCAATTCATCTCCTTCTCACGTTCCAATTGAACACTTTCCATGTTTGCTTTTTTTCTAAGGAACGAGACCTGCAATACTCGTAGAATCTAGATAGGATCCAATAATCAATATAAAAAGACCATGCTCTTCTATAATAAGGGCTAACACAAAGAATTACCACTAATGAAATCACGATCACCATATATGAAGCAAAAAAGCTCCAAGCGAATGCTGCCACATCAATTGCACCATCAACTTCTATGTCTTGATCACCAACATTTTCGGGGTGTGGAGCAAAGGGGTTACAACTTCTCTTGAGCAATGGTCCACAGAGACCTGGATTTCCTCTATAATTGCTTTCGTCAAAGCTTGCAAACTGCCATGTATCAGGCACCCTGCCAGACAAGTTATTGAATGACACATTGAAGATGGACAAGGTAGTCAATGATGCTAGCTCTGAAGGTATTTCACCACTCAAATCGTTGTAAGAAAGATCCAAGCTCTCTATTTGGTTCAACATGGAAAGTCTTGAGGGAATAGATCCTTGCAAGTAGTTGTGGGATAAATTTAATGCCCGGATATGTCTGAGATCACCAAATTTAGGAGGAATCGCTCCAATCAATTGGTTACATGACAGATCAAGTCCAGACATGAAATTCAATATATTCCCTGCATAGTGTTCGCTTCTACTTTTTGTTGTGAATATCACTTTTTCTTGCTCGGAAAAAGCTATAGAATACTCACTCGAGAATATCTCCATGGCCAAAAAAGGAAGGTTTGCGACGAATTTAATACCAAAAGGCTGGTCATAGGCAAAAAATGCATCTGTGGAGAACTGCCCTCTGCCAAAAGAAATGTTGTTGAAGCATGTAGGCAGTGGCCCAGAAAACTTATTCTGAGAAAGATCCATAATTGTCACTTTCTGCAGCTGACATAAGTGCAAAGGAATATGACCAAGCAATTCATTTCCCCCCAGTAGAAGAACCCTGAGCTCTTTAAGTTTACCAATATAGCGTGGTATACCGCCAGACAGCTTGTTGTAACCCAAATCGAGTGTCGTCAAATTGAAGCTTCCAGACAGCATGTTTGAGATGGGCCCTGAGATCATGTTGTGATGCAGGTGGATGAACATCAATGACGTAAGCTCGGAGCAGGCTGGTAAAGGTCCGATCAACTGATTTTTGGAGAGGTCTAAAAATGCAAGATATGAAAGTTTGCATATAGCTTCTGGTAAGCTACCTTCTAGCAAGTTGGCTGACATGTCAAGACCCTTCAAATGTGAAAATTTTCCAATCCAACTTGGAATTTTGCCTTGAAAAGAATTGTTTGAAATATCCAGCCAATATAAACTGGGAGAACGAGATAATCCATGTGAAATGCTCCCAATAAAATGGTTATTATCCAAGTGAAGGAATTCTAGGCTTGTTAAGTTCGTGGACCCAGAAGGAAAATTGCCATGCAAATTATTATAAGACAATACCAATATTCTAAGACGTAAACATCCAGTTCCAATTTGACTTGGCACCTCCCCTGAAAACATGTTGTGGGACAAATCAATTGTTTCTGCCATTGTCAAGTTTCCCAATGACTGGGGAATTGGCTTCCAATGAATTTCCTGACAAATTCATCCACTCCAGTAATGGAAAAGATAAACCAATATTTTGAGGAATCTTACCACTGACGTCATTGTTTGAGATGTCTAATCGACTTAGCTTTATTTCCCGAGAATCATCTACAAGAAACGGACCCGTAAAAGAGTTATCCTTTAGAACAAGAACTTCAAAGTTTGTATTATTCTGCAGAAGCCAAGTAGGAATCTGGCCGACTAACTTATTGGAAGAAAGATCAAGAATTTGCATTTCTTTCTGATAGAGCAGGAAACTTGGGATTGTTCGAGTCTGATTATTCAAGTTGCAGCCAGATAAATAGAGATCCTTTAGCTGAAATGGTGGGGGCAGAGCAAGATCCTCAGTGTCAACATGTGAATCATTGTTTAAAGGTCCAAGTTCGAACCCCTGAAGCTTTGAATGGTTGCCCAAAGAATTGAAAGAAAAAGAACCTCCAAAAAGGTTGCCAGAGAGAGATAGATATTCAAGGTGTACGAGAGGAGTAATGAGAGCTGCAGGGATGTTTCCGCTGAGAATATTTTTGGAGAGATCAAGAACTCGAAGAGACGTCAAGTTTCTGAAGCACATAGGAACAGGCCCGTAAAATTTATTGTCACTCAGCTGAAGTTCATCGAGATTCTTCAAACTGCAAATTCCTGTCCAAAAAACAAGTTCATTGTAAGCTTTTGATACAGTAATAGTCGATGCTAGGTATGACTTGTCAATATATAGCCAATTCAGAAACCATGAAATCATATGTTACACGCAAAAAAATTGAAATGTTGGTTTCCAAATTTCATCCGTTCTAGCTCAACATTTGAAAAGTAAATAGCAACTTCATGCAAGCAACCGAGCCTTTCACAGCCTATCTTATTACCTTGAACGACGGAGGAATCATTAATACCAATACCGTTCAAAGATAAGGCTTTGAGAGAAGTTAAAGCCTCAATGTCGGAGAGTTTGTTAAATTTTGTATATCCAAGATTGAGTCCCTTCAAGTTCTCCAGCTTCAATTCTGCAGTTCAAAACTTTATGTTAGTGTTATAGTTTTGGATATATCAAAATTACATAACTATTGCTGCATCTCCATTCCCTATTCTATAAGAATTTGTATATTTCAAACAAGGTAAATTATGCCACAGGTCGACAAAATTTTCAAAGTCTTATTTAATCCACTATACTATTTTTTCACGTCAATGATGCATTGAACAGCTAAAAAGGATCAAATTGGGCTATTCTATCCATTTGCTCGATTAAAATAGACGAAATTCATTGCATGTGAGCTGCACACTCTGCAGGGGCAGCTTTGTCATTTGGTAGTAAAAAGTTGTATGGTAGACAAAGGGGACGTTTGATAAAATTAAAAACTAAAACCTGAAAACTAAAACTTAATTGAAACCTAAATTTACTAAATTTCATAAAGTGAAATATGTTTGATAACCAGCTAAATTCGAGCACTAAATTAAAATATTTTATTTTGTTTTAAATTATATAGTTGAATAGTAATATTACGTTTTACTTTTGTACTATATTAACTTTTTAAATATCAATTTTTTATACTAATAATCTGCATGCTAATAGGAAAAGTATGTTTTTTGTATGTGCATATGAGAAACAATTTGCAAAATTTAGTGTGAAATTGTCTATCTTCAAGAGAAGTAAAATATATATTTTGTGTGTTTGATGGAGAGATTATGTTTAAAAGTGCATGTTATACAAGAAAATACGTGTAGGAGAGGGAGAGAGAATATGTGTGCATCTGAGAGAGAGAGAGAGAGTGTGTGTGTGTGTGTAGGTGAGAGAGAGAGAGAGATGTATATGTGTGAAAGTGTGTGAGGGTATAAGAGCGCGTATGTGACAAAGAGAGAGAGAGAAAGTATATGTGTGTGATGGGAGAGAAAGAATGAGAGAGAGTATTTTTTGTAGTACAAGCACTTAATACATCATTTTTAAGTACTTAATGGAATTACCAAACACCAGCCAAATGAGACTTTAGAAAAATTTGTCACCCAACATGCACTTTTTTGGAAAAATTTTTTGAAACCAAAGAATAATAACAAAAATCTCCCAGAGAAAAATTAAAACACAAACTAGTCCTTGTATTTCTAGTTCTTTTAACAGAAGTGTTTTAACAAGAATGATTTGCATTTTTGAAAAATGAAGTAAGAAAAAAAAAAAAGAGGCAGTTCAAAATACTTAAGTATATATTGTACTGATGAATAAATAAAGAAGAATAAAAATACAAAAATGTACTTGAATTTCTCTGATTGTTAGTCAATGGAATTCTGAATTAAACGCAAAAGAAAAACTTACATAACCAATCCTTTTAGATTTACAAATAATCCTCCCACCTTTTGTTTATGTTCCACTTTTCAATCGAAGGTTAATTAAACCTACTAAAACGAATGGAGTATTTCTAAGATACAGCTAACCTAAGGCAGATTTTGTTAATTTTGTGAATTTATTTTGGAATTTGGACATATTTTAACATCAAATTAGTTGTACAGATATTTCCATCCTATCCTTATAATCTTGGGGGAGGGAGGCGGATGGGTTGGGTGGTGGAGTATAAGTGAGAGAAAATGACACTTAATACTTCAAAGAAAATAATTTCGATTCTAACTTATTCTAGGTAAACCATGTATAACTTTATCTCAGATTGGACACACATACCATTAAAGGATAAGGAACCAGCAAATCCAGCATCATATAAGTTAAGAAGCTCCAATTTTTTCAGACAATTGCATTCTGCAGCAACAAGATGATCCAAGAACTCTTACAATGGGCAGATTTCACGCCTACATTCCTAATGCCTATAGATTGGGCATTTTTATCTTTTCTGGTATATCTATACTGTATAATTTAGGTATATCACCACAGATAGTTATTAAAATGTAAACAACTTTGAATCTGTAAATTAAGCCACCCCTCTAATCCCATATTTGTGAACGTAAAATTGAAAAGAATAAGACGCTTTACAATTAAAGTTTACATTTAAGAGCTTTTAATTGGAATAGAGTACAAATAAATAATACTAAGTCATTATAAGTATAGATATTCATTTACTTCTACGTGAGAAACAAGAACTAAAACAATGAAGCGGAAAAGAAAAAATAGACCAACAGAAAGTTAAAGAAATTTACGTAAGGTCAAAGAAAGTCTCATAAAAGAATTAGGAAATGCTAAATTTCTTTCTTTTCGAAGAAATTCTGCTTTATATTCTTCTTTAATTGTTGGCCAATAATATAATATTTTCTTAAAATTTTGCAGTGACATTTTTTTTTTTGTAAATTTTATTTCTCTACTTTTTTTATGAATCAAGTTATTTTCTTACTAAAGTACTTCTATTATTTCTCGAAAGATTTTGGAGTGCAAGGACCACCTGTTTCATAATGTTTTGCTGATATAGTTTTTATTTTTTAATTTAATTTCCAAAATGTTTTCTAATAAAGCACGTCAACAATCAGTAAACTTTTCTAAATTCTCATTTAGTCCATTTTATTATTTTCATATATGCAATGAGGAAAATGTTCCAAATGTAACGTGCAATTCACATGCCGTAAATTTTGTCTCTTTTTAATTGAAAAAATAAGTAGAACGACCAATTATTTATTTTTAGGAGTTTAGCAGTTCAGTTGACATAGGAAGCACAGTTAGATTTAGAATGAATACAGTAAGCTAAATTAGATTTTAGAAAGGTTTGGTGATTGGTGATTCATTACTAGATCTGTAACTTCATAAACCAAATAGCCCTTATAATATTAAGTATTGATATTTAACATAAGATTAGAAAAGGAAAAAAATGTACAAATAAAACTCCCACATTTTATTCGTGTTCCATTTTGCAATTGAAAGTTAATTAAACCACCTAAAACGAATGGATAATTCTAATGTACAGCTAATCTAGAAATTTAGGCAAATTTGTTAACTTTTAGGAATCTATTTTCTTGTTGGAATTTGGACATAATATAACATCAAATTATAGAAATAGGGAAAAGTACACAGATAGTTCTGTCCTATCCTTATAATCTTGAAATAGAAAGAGAAAATAATGGTTATACTCCAAATCATGTGACAGGATCCAAAGAAAATTATTTCGCATCTAGCTTATTTTGGGAATGTAATTTTTTTTGGTTAAAAAAAAACACGTATCCCAGTTAAACTATATGCACCTTTATCTCAAACTGGATATGCGTACCTTTAAAGGACATGGAACCAGAAAATTGATTACCGCTTAAGTCAAGAAACTCCAATTTTTCCGGACGCTTGAATTCTGCAGCAAGAAGATGATCCAATTAGAACTCCTAGAATGGGCAGACTGCGGTACAACAGCTCTCATGCTCATAGTTATTAAACCCGGCCCGGAAAGGAGACCGGCAAAGGAGGTGGGTCAACGGGTTACTGGTTCAACCGGTAGGTGAGTGGTTGAACCAGTGGGTCACTAAATATATTTAAATGTTATATCTTATAATTTTTTATATAGGACATATGATATAAATTTTAATAAATAATGTCATAACAAATGCTCATTTGTTTTAATTTGCTATAGAATAATTAATTCATATAAGAATCATCAAAACATAAAATTAATTAGTGATCCACCAAATTTCAAATGTAAAATTTTATCTATGTTTAGTGTAATTATCTAGGTTACTTACAAATTTTAAGTGCAAAAAATTATTAAAAATAATATTTGTCTTTAAAATAAATTATGTAATATGTTATTTTTGAAATCTAGTTTATAATTTATAGAATTTGGGGGGTCATAAGTCTGTATTAAAAGATTCCAAATAAATTTGTTTTGGAGAAATAAAAAAGAATAAAGATAAAATTGATAAAATGTTCATATAGTATAAGAATGGTAACTAATTAACATGTAGCGAAATAGCATGGTGGTGAGCTTGTCATAAACCTTGTCTAAGGTCATAGGTTTGAATTTAGCCAACAACTTTGTAAAATTTTTTCCTCAAAACCGGTTTCTTCACAAAACCGGCTGGGTTTCCAGTTTAATCCGATTGAATCACTGGGTCGTTGACTAATCAACGATTCCAGTGCTTAACCGATCTAATTAGAGACCCGGCCTAGTCTACTAGCAGGTACACTGGGTTGATCGGTTCAACCGTCGGAGGCCGGACCGAATTTTATAACTATGCTCATGCTAATGGATTCTACAATTTTATCTTTTCTTGTATATCTATGCTTCATAATTTTGGCATGTGCAACATCTCTCACAACTACGAAAAAAAAAAAACATTAACTAATTATCATCTTTCAAACAACTGCTCACATGTTAGCCACAGGCAATTTTTTGGACAAATTACACTTTATTCCTCTGTAATTTAGAATTTTTTTATATATAATTCCCCTATAGTTTCAAAAGATATACATAACTCCCCAATGATTTGAATTAAAGTGTCAAAATAACAGAATTTGCAATTCATAATGGAGTCACCTGAAATGTCAAAAATACCCCTATATAAAGGTTATGTGTATATTTTGAAAACCATAAGAGAGTTATATGATAAAACATTAAACCATAAGGGGGTTTGGTGACTGGTGATTCACTTTATCCTGAAAAATAACATTTTGAATTCATTACTAGACCTGTAACTTCATAAACCAAATAGCCCTTATAATATTAAGTATTGATATTTAACATAAGATCAGAGCTTTGGTAGTTAGTGAATGGATTTCTAAATTAAAATGAAAAGAAAAATCAAATTACTGATCCTTCTAGAGTCACAAATAGAACTCCCACATTTTATTCATGTTCCATTTTGCAATTGAAAGTTAATTAAACCACCTAAAACGAATGGATAATTCTAATGTTCAGCTAATCTAGAAATTTAGACAAATTTTTTAATTTTAGGAATCTATTTTCTTATTGGAATTTGGACATAATATACATCAAATTATAGACATAGGGAAAAGTATAGAGATAGTTCTGTCCTATCCTTATAATCTTGAAATAGAAAGAGAAAATAATGGTTATACTCCAAATCATGTGACAGGATCCAAAGAAAATTATTTCGCATCTAGCTTATTCTAGGACTGTAATTTTTTTTTTTGTAAAAAAAAAAAGTATCCCAGTTAAACTATATGCACCTTTATCTCAAATTGGATATGCATACCTTTAAAGGACATGGAACCAGAAAATCGATTACCGGCTAAGTCAAGAAACTCCAATTTTTCCAGACGCTTGAAATCTGCAGCAAGAAGATGATCCAATTAGAACTCCTTGAATGGGCAGATTGCGGTCCAACAACTCTCATGCTAATGGATTCTACAATTTTATCTTTTCTGTATATCTATGCTTTATAATTTTGGCATATGCAACATCTCTCACAACTACAAAAAAAAAAAAAAAAGATTAACTAATTAGCATCTTTCAAACAACTACTCACTTGTTAGTCCGCCGGCGATTTGTTTTGGGCAAATTACACTTTACCCCCTATAATTTAGTATTTTTATACATAATCCCTCTATGGTTTTAAAAACTTTATACAATTCTCTCATGGTTTGAATTAAAGTGTCAAAATAATGGAATTTGTAATTCATAATGGAATCACCTAAAATATAAAAAATGCTTCTATGTAAAGTTGAAAATTAATTATTAACCACAATGGGGGTTATATGTATATTTTGAAAATTATAAGGGGGTTATATGGTAAAACATTAAACTATAAGGAGGTTATATGATAAAATATAAAATCATATGGGATTAGTGCGTCAAGTATATTATGGTTATATATTTTTATCACTTCAGTCATTTTAAATTTTAAACAAGTGCAATTTCAACATTTTTAAAGGTTCTGTTACGAATGATTATTTCCGTAACTTTGACACTTTAATCCAAACCATGAGGGGGGTTATGTATAGTTTTTGAAACCATAAGGAGGTTATGTACAAAAATGTAAAATATAATTTGCCCTTTTTTCTTTTCTTAAGACCATAGCCAATTATTAAAATGTAAACAAACTTTGGATATGTAAATTAAGTTACCCTCTAATCCCATGCTTGCGAAGGTAAAAGGAAAAACAAATAAGATGCTTTGCAATTTGCTCCACATCAATAAAGTTCACATTTAAGAGCTATTAATTGAAATAGATTACAAATAAATAATGCTGAATCATTCTAAGTTTAGATATTCATTTATTTCTATGTGCTGAACAGGACCCAAAACAAATGAAGTAGAAAAGCAAAAATAGAACAGACGCAAAGTCAAAGAAAATTGTGTAAAAAGGTTAAAGAAAGTCTCATATAAGAATTATAGATAGTAATTGAATATACCTTCTATAGGAAACGATCCCTCTAAACCCATATAACGGAGAGACAGCCTTTTAAGTTCAGTAATTGCAGTTATACATGGAATTGTATTGTTGTTGAATTTGTTCCAATCGAGGTATAAGGACTTGAGATTTTGCAACTTAGCCCAATTCCTGCAGCCTGCAAAGCACGAGTCAGATTCTAATAAACGGGCTAAATACCAAAGAAACCCCTTTGGCTAATCCAATATACACATTTCCTCCTTATAATTTGAAAAAGTACAATTTAACCTGCATGGTTTTGGATTATAGTGAAACTGTTAGTTTTTTTAATTAAATTTAATAATCGAGCACTATCAAAGTTTTTAATAAAAAAACAATGATGAAATAATCAAATCGACCTTTGAACCATGTCATAAATAAATTATAGACAAAATTTGGTGTCAAATATAATTCCAAAATGACATCATCGCAAAAATTAAATTTCATAATAAAGCTTCTTCATCCCTACTGATTTCTGGCAAAAGAAACACTTATTAGAGCTTTGCAGCGGTCCACAATGGTTCTTGCCGGCAGCATCATCCAAAGGGAGCTGATCTATTCCTTCTACCAAAAGAGGTTTTCGATATTTGACTCGAAATAAAAGGACGTGAGAGGTAAAATTTATCACACTTTTATACTTTTCACGTCGACAAAGATATAAATATTTGCTTTTCGTTTTTGTTTTCAAAGTTACCTACTATGCATAAAACTTGATGTAAGTGGTAAAATTGTTGTACATTACACAAACTAATTTGTAACCGGTCACCCATTGAATTGAAAACTATTTGATAAATAAATAAGACACACTATCAAAAAACGTGGAAGTAAAACTTGGTTGCTAATCGACTAAAAGAAAATGATGGTAAGAAGCGAGTAAGTCAAATTCAAAAAATAAAAAGTATACTTTGTAATGCAATATCTTAGTCTTCTCTCTTGATCCATTCACTTTTTTCCACATAAATTGCCTGTTTTTTTCTTAGAGACATCAATTTACTCATGTATACATTCCTTAATTATTGCTCCTAATCCATCACAATAGGTTGATGTTTTATGCCTGTATGATCTATTTTTTAATTGCTATTTTTTCTTGACTTCTTTCAATTTATGATATATTAATTCTTGTTGTTTTGAAGAAGGGATAATTTCAGAAACCCCAGGAGACGTTTCTAACAATTTTACTGAGCTTCCCTGAGATTTGAAAAATTACACTTACCTCCCCTGATTTGATAGTTTTAGTAACATAACCTTAAAATAATATTGACTTCGTTAAATTTTTAAATAAATACCCAAAAATGCCCTCGTGTATTGAGTTTTAATTTACTTCCCTATACAATTATAAGATTATCTCGTGTAATTATAAGAAAAAGGTGTTAAATTTTTTATGTCCATACCTACTATTTGATAAACAACTATAATAATAATTTTATCATTATAATAAGATACTTTTGATGGTATTTTATTATGGATTTAGATTTATAAGATAGAAAAGAAAATGTCAAAATAATTGATTTAGAGTTTATGAATTTTTCGAGTAGTGGGATTATCATAATTTAATAGTGGTTTTGGGCCGTTTCTTTTCGATTTATTGTTAATTTTAATACCAAAAAATAGAAAACAAAGATTAGCAAAAAAAATATTGGATTACGTATAAAGTTAACTCGTCAAAAAAATCACTAGTTCGACATTTGGTTACAATATAAGTTAGAGATAATAGTGATAGTTCTACAGTTTTATTGGTAAAAAATTAAAATAAAAAGGAATAAGAAGGAAAAAGAATGAAAAAATAATTTTAAAAGTCATTCTAACTATAAACATACCAAACAAGAGAATTTCATTAAAATATTTAAGGGTAGTATAGTCATTTTAAATAGCAAGAGAGGTATGTGTAATTTTAAAAATCTCGAGAGAACTAAATAAAATTGTTAAAAAACTCAAAGGGAGGTTTTCGAAATTATCCCTAAAATTTAATGCAAAATAGTTTCCCGTTTAATTAAACTATCGTCAGTTTGTATGGGATTTTGAGTCTTCTACAATTATAATACAGATATACACGCAGATTAAGAGAAATTATAAGAAATAAGGCTGAGAAAAAAAGATGAAGAAATATGAAAAACTTGCCTCAAGCTGCGGACAAGAATGCTAAAAGTAAGGCTAGAACGAAAGAAAAAATGATGATGAAGAAAGATGAATTACTTGTCTGTGTAATCAAGGTTCTAAATGGCCAATCTTTCGATAGAAGCTTAGCAAAATCAAAACATATACAAGATTAAATTTTATATTTTACTCTGGAAAATTAGTAAATTGCAAAGTACAAAGAAGGAAAAGATTCAACATGGTGTATGTGGTTTAGGCCAAGATTCAATTATTGTTGGGGAAAATTAAAGGATTTTCTTGCAGTGATGAAGAATGGGATGACTGGTTGAGAGGTGATTCAAAGATTGAATTAACAACGAAAGAAGTTTAAGATGATTGTGCAGCAACAAGATGATCCAAGAACTCTTACAATGGGCAGATTCCACGCCCACATCCCTAATGCCTATAGATTGGGCATTTTTTTATCTTTTCTGGTATATATATACTTTATAATTCTGGTATATCACCACATTAAAAATAAAATTAACTAATTAACATCTTTCAGACTACTGCTCGCATGTTAGTCCACAGAAGATAGTTATTAGAATGTAAACAACTTTGAATTTGTAAATTAAGTCACCCCTCTAATCTCTAATCCCATATTTGTGAAGGTAAAATTGAAAAGAATAAGATACTTTACAATTAAAGTTCACATTTAAGAGCTTTTAATTGGAATAGATAAATAATACTAAGTCATTATAAGTAAAGATCCTCATTTACTTCTATGTGCGAAACATGACCTACAACAATGAAGCGGAAAAGAAAAAATAGACAAACAGGAAGTCAAAGAAATTTACCTAAGGTCAAAGAAAGTCTCATATAAGAATTAGGAAATGCTAAATTTCTTTCTTTTCGAAAAAATTCTGCTTTATATTCTTCTTTACTTGTTGGCCAATATAATATTTTCTTAAAAATTTGCAGCGACATTTTTTTTTTATAAATTTTATTTCTCTATTATTGTATGAATCAAGTTATTTTCTTACAAAAGTACTTCTATTATTTCTCAAAAGATTTAGGAGTGCAAGGACCACCTGTGTCATAATGTTTTGCTGATATAGTTTTTATTTTTTTAATTTAATTTCCAAAATGTTTTCTAATAAAGCATGTCAGCAATCAATAAACTTTTCTAAATTCTCATTAGTACAATTTTTTATTTTCATATATGCAGTGATGAAAATGTTCCAAATTAACGTGCAATTCACATGCCGTAAATTTTGTCTCTTTTGAATTGAAAAAAAAATAAATAGAGCGACCAATTAATTGTTTTTAGGAGTTTAGCAATTCAGTTGATATAGGAAACACTACAGTAAGCTAAATTAGATTTTAGAAAGTTTTTATAATAAATAATATATATGTTAAAAAAAAATATTTACTAGAGATTTTAGAAAGTTTTAGTGATTGGTGATTCACTTTATCCTTAAAAATAACATTTTGAATTCATTACTAGCTCTGTAATTTTATAATATTAAGTATTGATATTTAACGTAACATCAGAAAAGGACAAAAGTGTACTTGATTTTTCTTTGGTAGTTAGTGAATGGGTTTCTAAATTAAAATGAAAAGGAAAATTTAAATACCGGATCCTTCTAGATTCACAAATAGAACTCCCACATTTTATTCGTGTTCCATTTTTCAAATGAAAGTTAATTAAACCACCTAAAACGTATGGATAATTCTAATGTACAGCTAATCTAGAAATTATGGCAAAGTTTGTTAATTTTAGGAATCTATTTTCTTATTGGAATTTGGACATAATATACATCAAATTATAGAAATAGGGAAAAGTACACAGATAGTTCTGTCCTATCCTTATAATCTTGAAATAGAGAGAGAAAATAATGGTTATACTGCAAATCATGTGACAGGATCCAAAGAAAATTATTACGCATCTAGCTTATTCTAGGACTGTAATTTTTTTTTTTGTATAAAAAAAAAAAAACGTATCCCAGTTCAACTATATACACCTTTATCTCAAATTGGATATGCGTACCTTTAAAGGACAAGGAACCAGAAAGTTGATTATAGCTCAAGTCAAGAAACTCCAATTTTTCCAGACGCTTGAAATCTGCAGCAAGAAGATGATCCAATTAGAACTCCTAGAATGGGCAGACTGCGGTCCAACAGCTCTCATGCTAATGGATTCTACAATTTTATCTTTTCTTGTATATCTATGCTTTATAATTTTGGCATATTAAAAAAAAAGATTAGCTAATTAGCATCTTTCAAGCAACTACTCACTTGTTAGTCCACCGGCGATTTGTTTTGGGCAAATTATACTTTACCCCCCTATAATTTAGTATTTTTATACATAATCCCTCTATGGTTTTAAAAACTTTATACAATTCTCTCATGGTTTGAATTAAAGTGTCAAAGTAATGGAATCTGTAATTCATAATGGAATCACCTAAAATATAAAAAATGCTTCTATGTAAAGTTGAAAATTATTTATTAACCACAATGGGGGTTATATGTATATTTTGAAAACCATAAGGGAGTTATATGGTAAAATATTAAACTATAAGGAGGTTATAGGATAAAATATAAAAACATATGGGATTAGTGCGTCATGTATTAAGACTATAGGCAATTATTAAAATGTAAACAAACTTTGGATATGTAAATTAAGTTACCCTCTAATCCCATACTTGCGAAGGTAAAAGGAAAAACAAATAAGATGCTTTGCAATTTTCTCCACATCAATAAAGTTCACATTTAAGAGCTATTAATTGAAATAGATTACAAATAAATAATGCTGAATCATTCTAAGTTTCGATATTCATTAATTTCTATGTGCTGAACAGGACCCAAAACAAATGAAGTAGAAAAGCAAAAATATAACAGACGCAAAGTCAAAGAAAATTGTGCAAAAAGGTTAAAGAAAGTCTCATATAAGAATTATAGATAGCAAGTGAATATACCTTCTATAGGAAACGATCCCTCTAAATCCAAATCAACGAGAGACAGCCTTTTAAGTTCAGTAATTGCAGTTATACATGGAATTATATTGTTGTGGAAGAAGTTGTGACCAAGGTATAAGGACTTGAGATTTTGCAACTTAGCCCAATTCCTGCAGCCTGCAAAGCACGAGTCAGATTCTAATAAACGGACTAAATACCAAAGAAACCCCTTTGGCTAATCCAATATACACATTTCCTCCTTATAATTTGAAAAAGTACAATTTAACCTGCATGGTTTTGGATTATAGTGAAACTGTTAGTTTTTTTTATTAAATTTAATAATCGAGCACTATCAAAGTTTTTAATAAAAAAACAATGATGAAATAATCAAATCGACCTTTGAAGCATGTCATAAATAAATTATACACAAAATTTGGTGTCAAATATAATTCCAAAATGACATCATCGCAAAAATTAAATTTCATAACAAAGCTTCTTCTTCCCTACTGATTTCTGGCAAAAGAAACACTTATTAGAGCTTTGCAGCGGTCCACCATGGTTCTTGCCAGCAGCATCATCCCAAGGGAGCTGATCTATTCCTTCTACCAAAAGAGGTTTTCGATATTTGACTCTAAATAAAAGGATGTAAGAGGTAAAATTTATCACACTTTTATACTTTCTACGTGAGAAAGATATAAATGTTTGCTTTTCGTTTATGTTTTCAAAGTTAACTACTGTGCATAAAACTTGATGTAAGTGGTAAAATTGTTGTACATTACACAAACTAATTTGTAACCGGTCACCCATTGAATAGAAAACTATTTGATAAATAAATAAGACACACTATCAAAAAACGTGGAAGTAAAACTTGGTTGCTAATTGACTAAAAGAAAATGATGGTAAGAAGCGAGAGTAGTTCAAATTCAAAAAAAAAGTACACTTTGTAATGCAATATCTTATTCTTTTCTCTTGATCCATTCACTTTTAATTTTTCCACATAAATTGCCTGTTTTTTTCTTAGAGACATCAATCTTAGTCATGTATACATTCCTTAATTATTGCTCCTAATCCATCACGATAGGTTGATGTTTTATGACTGTATGATCTATTTTTTTAATTGCTATTTTTTCTTGACTTCTTTCAATTTATGATATATTAATTCTTGTTGTTTTGAAGGGGTGCCAATGACTAACTCACAGCTAAAATTTAATGCAAAATAGTTTCCTGCTTAATTAAACTATCGTCAGTTTTTACGGGATTTTGAGCCTTCTACAATTATAATACATGAGAAATTAAAAGAAATAAGGCTGAGAAAAAAAGATGAAGAAATATGAAAAACTTGCCTCAAGCTGCGGACAAGAATACCAAAAGTAAGGCTAGAACGAAAAAAGAAAAGATGATGAAGAAAGATGAATTACTTGCCTGTGTAATCAAGGTTCTAAATGGCCAATCATTCGATATAAGCTTAGCAAAATCAAAACATATACAAGATTAAATTTTATATTTTACTCTGGAAAATTAGTAAATTACAAAGTACAAAGAAGGAAAAGATTCAATTATAGTTGGGGAAAATTAAAGGATTTTCTTGCAGTGATGAAGAATGGGATGATTGGTTGAGAGGTGATTTAAAGATTGAACTAACAACGAAAGAAGTTTAAGATGACGGAGGCTTTCTTGGAAGTCTAGGGTTGACCAACTTTGACTAATACAAAGAACTAAACTTTTGAATGGTTCACTCGTCGAGCCCAACTATTCATTGTTCATACAAACATCTCAAAACTCAAAAAGTTTGCCTCCTTGTGTTGTTGGAAAAATTTATATAACAACATAATGTAAAAATTATGCTCCCAGTATGTTGCTGTCGGGTAAAATAAATACCACTTTCCTCCAAGATTAACAAAGTCAATCTAATCATTAGGAGCATAAAGATCCCTCCAATTGGATTGGATTGGTACAAACTAAGATGTATGAATTTTCATTTTCTTGTAGCTTTGCAATCAATATGGGATCCTCAAGCAATACATCACTAACTACACTTACTATATCTAACATTTGTACCACGTCAAGTTTAAATATATTAACCAAAATATTGTGGGAGAACTCTTTCATGAGATGGTGAGAATACCAAAATAGTAGATACCAAGAACAAGAAACTTCAAATTATACAATATAAACAAATGCTTTGAAAAAAAGATAGTAGGGTACGGTAGTTACCTGTCACTTCACCCTGGAAGAGATTATAACTCAGGTCTAGAGCTCGCAGGTCCTTCAGAGGTATGAAAGTGCTAATATTTATATTTACATACCAATACTCAGACATATTCTCTCGCAAATCACTAAGGTGGAGTTCAACAATTCTCCCAGTAATATTACTGCACCTGACCCGTTCCCAGGTGCAGCAATCATCATTTGCTCCATCACCTTCTTTTCCAGTCCACGAAGAAAGGATAAGATGAGCATTTGTAGTCACATCTAAAGAAGCTTTGAAGTCCAAGAGAGCATGTTTTTCTTCTAAAAAGCAACCTGAGCAAAGTTGTCTTCCGTTGAGTATTATTGATACAGCAAGAGCCCATGAGGCAATCAGAATGGAATGACCGCGCATGATTTCAGTATGGAGAATTAGTGAAGGAAAGTGCTGTAATGAAAATGGAAGGCAGGATAATTTATAATCCTGCATTCCTTCTAGTTGCGTATCCTCAACGAGTCAACTCAGGTTTAAGTCTTTAAAGTTGCATGCTCCAAAAAAAAAGTCTTTAAAGTAGACAAATATGGCCCGCTTTAGTGGAACTTAATTTGGCCCGCTTTAGTGGAGTAGACATCGACTTAAATTCAGTCGAAATTCAGTACACTTGAAGAAAATATGACCACTCGTATTGGTCAAGGGGCAGTAGACAAATATTGAGCGTGAAACTGAATGAGGTGATTACCGGTAAGTGCACCTGTGTTTTCTTGGTGGCTGCTTCCTAGTATTTGCCTCATTGTTTTCATCTATCTAGTTAACATGCATGATTTTGATTCATTAAGGGATTCTTCTATTATATTTTACTGACTAGAATTTTTGTGCTGAAATTTCAGCAGGAATGAACTGTGATGCCTTTTTTGTCCTTTGAAATTAGCATGCAAATGACGCAAAAAAGTGATGCGAGATGGATTTTGGGATAAAAGAAAGTTTATTTTGAATGGAAGACACACAATTGTATCATTGCGAAATTAAGAGATTAATAAAAAACACGTAATTTTTCCAATTGAAAAATTAACATAAGCAAAATGACCGAGAATAATCCATTACTTTCTTATGGACTAAACTTAGAAGAGATATTGGACACATAGAATTATCCACCCCTTGTGATAAAATATGACATTTCGTCGATTTTTCTTTAGAGTCACAATCAGTGATGTAACAAATGCTATGTCCCACAGAAATATTACATAATACACTAGTTTTTACCAAAAAAAGAAAAACATTTTGTTTGAATAGAGTGTTATTTGAAATATTATTTAAAATAATTACTGTTGTACTTTTTTTGATGTGATGTATGTGAAATAAAAAGATGATTCGAAATATAAAAAGGTGAATTGGAAAATATGTTTATGATACAAGCGAAATATTATTTGAAATAACATATAGTATCTAAAGAAACCTAAAACTAGTTGAATAAGTCTTATTTGGCTTAAAAAAAAGTCTTATTTGACTAATTCATGCTATATTACTTTTCTTCGAATGGGGACCCGTTTGGGGGTCTTTCAAGTGACAACTTGACCAATGATACTCCCATGTTCATGGTTGGAAATGTGCCAACAAAGTCCAGAATTAGCTATAGAGGTTTTTTCACATTCATGAAAGCAACGCCACGGATTTACTCATTTATTATCATGGTCCTTATATTGCGTTATTATTTTGAGTGCATTTATAGTTGTTGCTGTTTTTCGTGTTTTTTTTTATAAGAAATTTCTATTTTGGTCAATTTTTTTTTTATTTGTCAACATGATAGATTCTGTATTATAACTACTCCTACTCTACACGATAGGGAGAGCGACCTAATGAGGTTGAGGAGAACCCGATGAAGTACAACGGTTCAAACGGGTGCCTACGCACTGGATGACTAAATATTTTTAGAAAAATGTGGATATTAGAATGCAAGTTAAAAGATTTGATCCATTGATCGATACCCAAGTACAGCTTTAAAGCTCTATTTCAGTCAATTTGGGCTGTGGAAATTGAAATGAAGTGCAAAGTCATCAAAATTGGAACGCAGACTACGGGGACCAGGAATTAAAAGAAAGATGGTAGCATAGTAGCGTACCTTACACTTTACTTTGGAAGAAATTATGACTCCAAGTCCAGTGTGTGAAGGATATTACTTTGGAAGAAATTACTTTGGTCTTAAATCCTGCAAGTGTGAAGGATATTTTAGTCCTACTACTTGTTCAATATATTACTCAGAGTCTTATATTCGAAGGTGCTGATTAAAAGATTAAAGGAAAAGGTGGTGTTACCTACCTGGGGCTGAGCTAGGATAATATATTCAGCGGGGGCATAAATGTTTGCTAATCTCCATTCTCCAAGACAGGGAGAAGATTCAACCTATATAAATGTTGGCGGTTTCTTTTTTTTTTTTTTTGGTAATTTTTTGGTGCATTGAGAAGCAGCTATAGAGTTTTCTACATCATTATATTTATTCAAAGTCCTTATGTTGCATCAATAATTTCGAGTGAATTTATTGTTGTTTGATAAGAAATTTCTTGTTGAGTCAATCTGGCCTACAAAAAATGACTCCTTGATTTAGTGCTAGACTGTCCAAATTGTAGTGCAAAATACGAGGGAAATACAAATGAACTGGACAAAGATGTTGCCTTCCTTCCCCTTTACTTTGGAAGAGTGAATTAAGTATTTTTGCGGTTTCCTGTTTTTGATAAGAAATTTCTTGTGGAGTAAATCTGGTCTGCAGAAGATGACTCCTGAATTTAGCACTAATTTTGTTGATTTGTCAAGCCGCAGCCGCAGCTCTTGACTTTGGATGGCAGAATTTTGGCGTCCCACATCGAAGATCAGAAACGGAAGGCTTCCCTCTTGATTCCTATAAATAAGGGAGCCTTATGAAGGTTTCAACTCGCACCACTCAAGAGAGTTATATGGGTTATTAGCTTCTTGAGTCATCTAGCCCATTTAGTCAAGTATTTTAGGCTCTCTTGTATTGTGTTTAGGAATATTTCCTAAACCTTTTATAAGTGCCTTTTGGCCTAGGAACCACTTTCCTACGGCTTTTGTATTTCTTCTTCATAATAGAAATATTGCTCCTCCCTCGCCCGTGGACGTAGGTCAATTTGATCGAACCACGTAAATCTTCTGTGTCTTTTATTTGCTTTGTTATCCGTCTTTTATATGGTCGGTTTTACCGCCTAATTATTATATGGCTGGTATCTACCGCCTATCTATTATATGGTCGGTTATACCGCCTAATTTGTTCTAACTTGAGTTTGTCTATTTTCTGACCCGGTCCTAACAAACTGGTATCAGAGCTGGTTGTTATATTTTGCAAGACAGATTCATCCGGTGGGGCCCATTCATCCTGTAGGGCCCACTCATCCTGTGGGGTCCGTTCATCCGTGGGGCCCGCTCACCTTGTGGGGTCCGTTCATCCGTGGGGCCCGCTCATCTTGTGGGGCCCGCTCATCTCCGTGGGGCCTGCTTATCTCGTGGGGCCCACTCACCTTGTGGGACCCGTTCACGAGACTTGCTTGGCCAGTTTTTGAGACAAGGTTCAAATTAAAGATTTTGTGGCAACAATGACAATAACAAAGACGGTTGTCGAGAAATTTGACAGAAATGTCAACTTCGGCATGTGGCAGCTCAAGATGGAGGCCATTCTGGTTCAAGACGGAGTTGATTTGGCAATTTAAGGAATTGAGAAAAAGCCAGAAGATGTGACAGATGCAAATTTTGCTGAGATGGATAAGAAGGCAAGATCCAGTATTATCCTAAATCTCTCCGATGAGGTATTGCGTGAGGTAGCAACGGAGACTTCGGCCAAGCCTATGTGGGATAAATTGAAAGTCTTGTATATGAAGAAGACAGTCGAGAATCGGCTATATTTGAAGCAGAGTTTGTACATGCTTCGGATGTCTGAAGGTACATCTATACTCTCCCATCTTGATAAATTTGATTCCATTATTATGGATTTGGAGAATATAGATTCGAAAATTGATAATGAAGATCAAGCCCTATTACTTTTGTGTTCCCTTCCCCAATCCTTTAAGCATTTCCGTGATACTATGATATATGGAAAGGAAACAATTTCGTATTGGGAAATTAAATCTGCATTAAAATCTAAAGAGCAGATAGATAGGGATATTACTGGGGAAACTAGTGGAAGTCAAGCCGATGGCTTGTTTGTTCGGGGTAGATCTGAAAGAAGAAATACAGAAAATAGAAGTAGATCCAAATCCAGACATAAAAATGTGGTGTGCAATTATTGTAAAAAGAAGGGCCATATTATCTCTGATTGCTTTAAATTGAAAAATAAAGAAAAGCAAAAAGGGAAATTTGTTGAGAAAAATACAGAAACCACCGAGGCTAGTATTGCCGTTGATGAGAATGATGGAACTATTTTCTGTGCAACGGAAAATAATTTTAGGTCTAACAATGAGTGGATTTTAGATTCGGGTTGTTCATATCATATGTGTCCCAATAGGGACTGGTTTTTAACATATGAATCAACTGAAGGTGGAGTTGTCTTAATGGGCAACAACGCTGTTTGTAAAGTTGTTAGCAAAGGCACAATCCGGATTAAAATGTACGATGGTATTGTGAGGACGCTCACAAATGTTAGACATGTTCCAGATTTGAAGAAAAATCTCATTTCTTTGGGCACTCTTGAGTCTATCGGGTGCAGGTATTCAGGTGGAGATGGAGTTCTCAAAATCACTCGAGGAGCTCTTGTTGTTATGAAGGCACACAGATCTGGTACTTTGTATATTTTGCAGGGATCTACTGTTACAGGTGCTGCTGCTGTTTCAACATCATCTTTGTCAGATACAGACATCACCAAATTATGGCATATGCGTTTGGGGCATATGAGCGAAAAAGGCTTGGGCATACTGAGCAAAAGAGGACTTCTGTGTGGACAAAGTACCGGTCCATTGGAATTCTGTGAACATTGTATTTTTGGGAAGCAGAAAAGAGTCAGCTTCAGTTCACCAGCAATTCACAAGACAAAAAGTACCCTTGATTACATTCATTCAGATCTATGGGGTCCTTCTCGTGCTCCTTCTAAAGGTGGTGCCAGGTACATGTTGACTTTCATTGATGATTATTCAAGGAAAGTTTGGGTCTATTTTCTTAAGCATAAAAATGATGTTTTCCTAACTTTCAAACAATGGAAAGTTTTGATTGAGAAACAAGCAGGAAAACATGTTAAGCGGTTGAGAACAGATAATGGCATGGAATTTTGTGGAGGTGAATTTAATGAATTTTGTAAGAATGAAGGAATTGTTCGGCATCACACTGTCAGGATGACGTCTCAACAAAATGGTGTGGCCGAACGTATGAACAGAACGCTTTTGGAGAGAGCAAGATGTATGATCTCCAATGCAGGGTTGACAAATATTTTTTGGGCAGA